CTTGGTAACTCACAAACTCGGATGCTTACAGGAGCCTTTATATTTCCCACCCAAGCAGGACGCACCTTTTAAGTGGCACAACCATCAACACTCACTCTGAAAGGACTGGCCCAAACAAGTGCCCATTTTTGCTGCTTGGCACAAACAATTGTCCAAACCCCAGTGTTTAAAGTCCGAAACGGAACTCAGGTGCAACATGAGTCGCAATTTGTTTTATCATCCTTCCAGGGTCCTGCGTGAGCCTTACCGCCAGGCGACCAGTGGTTCTCTGCTGCACAGCTGCAATTGTTTTGGCCACACACGATGACAATTCGCGGAAACGGGAAAGCGCGATGCGCTTTAACCCAAGTACGGGTGATTGCGGTCGTAAGTGGGGAATGCAAAACACTGTTCTCAAACAAAGATGCATTTCAAATAAGGAACGACATGTTTGCCCCAAAAACTCTGTCTCAGGAATAGACAAATGCAAAGGAACAAACAAAATTGCCAACTCGGGATTGGGCATCCTTCGGCCAAGGCAAACAAACCGTGTATTTTATCCGATTTGGGCTCGGATCGTCTGCTAAAAGTGACTAACTTTTAGTGGGTTAAATGAAAAACCCCACCACTAAACCAACCCAAACTCTGATAACCTAAAGGAGGGATGGGAACCACCAATATTTATGGCCACAGCTCCCACCTCCTGGTGTGCTGCTCGCCAGGAGTTGTGCTTCACACACCTAGAGGACTTCTCTCAGACTCTCAGGTGAGTCAAATCTCGCGTCTTCCCTGTGATCAACTTGAATCTCGGGGCCTATGCTTAAAGACCATGGCACAAAACAACATCTTTGGCAAGCTGCCCAGTTGCAGCTTGCCAATCACAGGGTGATCAAGGCATTGACATGGATATGGTGTAAAATTAGGGACCTCTTGGTGTTGGTGGAAAGGATTTAGGTTGGGATTGATCTCCACCAACCACCTATTAAGATTCGTAGCCATCTGGGTCACATACAAAAAGTCATACAAACGTACGGACCGCCACCTATGGGAATGAAGTTTCATGGTCTTGCAACCACCAACATGTGTGTCCCGCACCAGATTTACTTCAACGTGGGACTGCTTGCAAAACAAATCCACACTGTGTTTGGCCTTGCACGGGAACCATCTGCAAGCAGGCAGTCTCTATGTTGGCATTCCCTAGTTCGCTGTGTGCAAAGTTCACCTGCGACGGAGCTTGGAAATCCCTCGACCTGACCCGCAACAATCGACTGTGCATCAAAAGCTGGAGAGCCTGACAGCCACCGAGAACACAGCCTTCTCTTCAACGCAAAACACAAGTCATTTCCTAACTTTCGCGGGCCTAATCTGCAAATGCTGCAAACACACAAGTGAAACAGTTACATCACATCTCCTAAAGGATCTACCTCATGGCTGGTGCGCTCGTTTTAATCCCTTGTGAGCTCGAAACCCGTCTGGTTGGTTGATTGATGTTGATCGTTTCTTTCCTTTGAAGACCATCCGCATGCGCTCCCCTGCTCTCAAATAACCCTCAAAACGCAACATTTCTTTCCTCGGCACGGCTATCAATGCATTAACTGTTCTACAACCCGCATACGAGCCGAAGCAATGGCCGGGATCATGGAATCGGTGGGATGCTCAAGACAAAACACGAACGGTTTGGGCCCTCGGCAGTTGCAGGAACCACTCGAGGTCTTGCAGGTTGCACACGGAGGCTGTGTGGAAGGCGTCCGACCACAGCACGGAGGCCTAGCGCACGTGCATGTGCGTGCGGGTGTGCGCGCGGGTGCGGGTGTGCGTGCGGGCGTGGCTGTGGGTGTGAGTGTGGGTGTGGGTGTGGGTGTGAGGGGGGGTGGGTGTGTGGGCGTGTGGGTGTGTGGGCGTGTGGGTGTGTGGGTGTGTGGGTGTGTGGGTGTGTGGGTGTGTGTGTGTGTGTCTGTATGTATGTATGCATGTATGTATGTGTGTGTGTGTGTGTCTGAAAGTCGGCATTGGGTGTGTGGGTGTGTGGGTGTGTGTGTGTGTGTGTCTGTATGTATGTATGCATGTATGTATGTGTGTGTGTGTGTGTCTGAAAGTCGGCATTGATTCACTGTGACATCTGCCACATTGAGGGGTCTGATCAAAATGAAAACACGCCGTCCCCCTTTAGTTTCGCTTTGTCAATTCAAATCTATAGGCTATTCAGCGCTCTGATTTCCCATGTGGAACATGACCCCCTCTTTAATGCCCAAATGGGGCATTCGCATGGCTGCTTTGCTGCTCACTGTCCCACGACCATGCTGCAATGCTGATTCCCGCAGGCCACGCTGATTCCTGTAGAACCAAAGGGAAAGGGCGGAAACCCTCAATGAAATCGGTCACCTTCCTTCGGCCTTTGTCAGGCTACCAAAAAACATGGTGGATGGGCCATCTGTGACCCTGGTTCTGACCATCTGAGGGTTGCTCAAAGAGAAAGGCTCCTCCCCCCCAGGTAACCAAAAACGCTCCTCCGGAAGAACAAGGCCCAACGCAACATAAATCTTGTTCCACTCCGAAAATTTGGGGCGTGGCTCCGTCCCGCCACTCTCGCTGCGGGTTCCTGCAGCGGCGCCAGCAGAGGCACAGCGAGGCCCGGCTCCTCATGTCTCCCTTGGAGCCTTGGACCCTCCGCCGCAAATCGGTGGGGGTTCAGTTTTGCTCCATAAAACCACCAAAGGCCGTGGTTGCTGCAACGACCCTCTGCAACAAGTTGCGCACGTTATGTGGGTGCAACGGAAAATCCGCCTTATCCCAAAATGTTAAAGTCTGAGGATCCAACCAAATATCCCTAAAGATGGGGTACACTGAACATGATGTTCTGATTCTGTTTCATCGGTCAACCGTGAACATAATTCTTGAAGACACCTCTTGGTTGACGTTGAAAGGGGGGACAAATTCTCAAATCTTAGCTTCCAAGTGGTTGGATTTCAACCTCTAAACCACAATAAGCAAAAATAGGGAAAATATTTCCCAACAACAACCGAGACCTTGGACACTACAAAAACAACTGGCTCCCCAAAGTTGTGGGGTGCCCCATTTCAAAAGGAGGTTTGAGGGCCCAGGATAGGTCCCCAGTTACGGGATGATGTCCAACGCGTGGGTTGAGAGTTCGGGCAGTCTTGGACATCGATGCTGAGGGGTCTGGCAAACCGGTTCAAACACAAGAGACCTCTTCTTTGAGTTCTAGTCTTCCACAGAGCAAACAGCAGCTCTGCAACAAGTCGAAACACAATAATAGGTTGTCCAAGCTTGAGCCCAAACATGGCACTGGCACGTGCTTTGTTTCCCAATTGTGCGAAAGGATTACACGCGTGAGATATGTACTGGCAGATGGTGAACAGCTATCAAAGGCCAACATGAATCATGAGGGCATCAGAGTTTGAACAGGGGGCCTCTTGGCCTCGTGCCAACAGAAGGATTCAGGTCCTAACAGCCCCGCCAACAAATCGCAAGATGGTGGCTAGCCCGGTCGCGTGCTTTCCTCAAAAGGGTGTGAAACAAAGATATTGATATGGCGCCCAGAAACATAAAAAATCATGGCAATGGCGGTCAGGGTTCCAATTGACTTCGACTTCAACCCGGCTGCCTCTCTTATTGGGGGGAATCAACCACCCTGGTCTATGAAACTGGGCTGAGGGTCATGACCCCTCCAACGCAGACCCCCGTGCAATGGAGACCATGGGGGAAAACCACTAAAACGCTATGGTATGTCCATGGGGAAAGCTACCCATGGTCAATTGGGGCCTTGAATATTGATCAACCCCCCCAACCTCTGAAACTGGACTTGTCAAAAACAATTTGTCCGTCTGCCGCTCCTTCACCGAGAGGCACAGCAACGTGTCTGTTAGAAGCGGCCTCGGAAACGGAAATGGACACCCCGCGATGCCGCGGCGCACGATGCTTTTTGCCGCTGGAGTGCCAAGCCAAAGGTCTGGCGTTGGTAAAAAGTGGGGGTTAAATAGGTGGTCTGGGCAATGACCCCTGTGTTTTGCAAGCCCTAGGAGATTTTCAGCACCCAGAAGATGGTTCTTTCATTTTTGGACTGCAAAACTGGGGGGTCGGCGGTTTCCTGGAAACATTTGAGGCTTTGCGAACTGCCGGCTGCAGGCCTCGGCCCAAGGAAAGTTCCCATGCACAACATCTGCTTCCTGAGTGGACTGGTCAAAAAAAGTCTGAACTTTCTATTTACCACTAAACTGGTCTTCCCACAAAGTTTAGTCCATGAACTCAGGAAGTGAGGATTCGTGAAATTGCCAGCCCACAAGCGTGGGACCAAGAGCAAAGTTTCATGTGGTTAGCGTTAACTGGTACTGGAAAACCTTTATAGTACTTAGCTGACTCGGGCTAGCGAAGTAGTTGAAACCCTTACCTAGTTTACCGGGGATGGGTGTTGACTGGGGCTTGCCGCTTCGCTAGCTCCCTAACGATCTCGTGGAAGCAAAGGCTCTTGAACCTTAAATAAAGGGGTTGGCGATTCTAAAAAGCAGCTTTCGCCATCAGCACCCCGGAGGACACAGGATCTCCCTAATACGTAAGGAGTACTAAAAGGGACTGAAGCGAACTCACACACTTAAAGGGGCTGCACGCATTGCTAAACACAAACCCATACGAGTCATGATCAAACTTTGTTGTTCGCCAAGAGGACAAAGGAACAACATGCGAGTTTTATTTTGTCTTTTTGCTGCTTACCCCGGGTTTCTTGCTGACATAATTGTTGCTGCTTAGTTTGCAAGGAATGAGGGAAGTCTTGATGGTTGCGAAATCCGTTCAACTCTCCACCGTCCAGAAACCCCGCGGAATAACTTTCGATTCCCCTGGAAATAGTATAAGAAACGTGGTTCGGTTTCAACCCTGTTTCTCATGAGTGATGCGATTTCTGGAGTTCGCAACCATCCACCTGAACCATCCCTGGTGGTTCATTCTGACCCAAACACTTCCCTGAGACCCGGCCAGCGCGCCTTGCGCGCCCAACTTTTTGCAGCTGATACAGGCAGGCTATCGACTCAGGTCTCCAGCTGGATGGGCAGGCCTGAGACAGAAGAACGATTCTATTCCCTAGGTCCTCCAGATTTGAGAGGTTAGAATAAGGGTACCCGATTTTTGTTCTGTAGTCTATTGTAGTAGGGGAACCCTCCCCGCAAACAGGGTAAAAGGGCACTACTGGATCACCTAGTTCCTGAAAGCAAGGAACATGCAATGGAGGATCATGTTCCAGGCTAAACTGATCCACTGCTAAAAGTATGTTGACTTGTGGGTCAAATGGACACCCAAGCACCTTTCACCAACAAGCCGCGAAACACCTTTCTGGAGCTGAACCACCAAGCTTTCTTTGCAATGGTCATGGCCATTCTCGGAATGCTTACATGGTCGAATCTAAATCCAAGGGGTGTTGATTCGATGGCCATTCAGTAAGCAGGTCTTTTCCCCATGGCTCTCGGAACATGCAAAAGAGGATCAACATGTTTGGAAGCTGTTCTTTGACTCGGACTTGGTGTGGTGTCGGCGTCCACGTTCAAAGGAAGACACAAACGCACACCGAGACAATCAGACCAAGAGTCAGCCTTGTAAAATCGGAAAGCAAACAGTGAAAACACAACACAACATACTGGATGATGACCTAACACTCGTCTCCGCACTTCCCTTGTTTTGCCCTGCCAGTCTTGCCCTTTGAACATTAGGAACGGATCTCCCCTTGGAAACAGGCAGCAAGCAACGTACGGAACAGATTTCCACGGGGAAGCTTTCACGCAACAAGAGAGAACGCCGGACAATGCACACGCAGACACACTGGAATCCAGTGGAACAACAAATGATTCGTGACCTCCCAAGAGAACATACATCTTGCTCCTTGATGCTGCTGTTTGCATAGGGAACTCCAACCCACACCAGAAAACAAGAGCATGGACCGGAAAACACGTGGGGATTCAGCGGTGTTTACCCTCTTTCAAATGAACCAACATGAAAACACGCAACGCACCCAGCCAAAACTGCCAAGGGGAAAAGTGAAGAGGGAACCCCAGTGGACAAGAACAAGGAAAACGCAAACACCGACTGTGTTGCATGAAGAGGGAACCCCGTCCCCCACAAAAACACTGAACGTCTAGGCCTAAGGATTTGCCCACTACACCCTGTCATACTGTACCATAAACAATTCGCCCCAACTGGCTTGTAGAAAGAAATAGTCCAACATCCCAACATAAGGTAGTTCCCCAACTTGAATTCCGGGGTGCAGTAACAAGCGCCTCACTCTCCTGCAAATTAATATGAACCCCCCAACAAAAACAACAAGGGGCTTCCCGTTTTGGGAGACTGCTCTAAACGGAGTTTCTTGGGTTCCTTTTACCTGCTTGGGAGAAAGGCAACAAATTATGTACCATGTTGCCTACCCTTTGGAACAATTCAAATCCTGTGGGCCGTTTGAGCCATGGACAATACACCTGAGGTAACCTCGTTCTTCAGCATCAATGTGTCGCCTCCAAAAAGGATTGCCTCTTTGAGGTTGCACGATCCTTTAGAGAACCCCGTTGCTTAGCTTACAAAAGCAATACTTTAAATCAGCTGGCCAAAGTCACACGTACAAAAATGGACTTCACCCCATCATTCTGCGGCACCAGCCAAGATTTTGAGGAATTTTGTCGAGGATCCAAGCAGTACCTCTCTGCAAGTGTTACTATAACTCAAGCGCAATCAAAACTTGGATCCGCAAATACAGGACCTTTTCTCATGGCTGAATCGCTCGTGGAAAAAAAACAACATGCGATAAGTTATAAGTCCAAAAGCTGAACTGAGGGATCCCCAACTAAAGGCCAGTGAGCTCGTTTTACCCCCCGAAAATCGGTGAGCTCTCCATAAAATAGGCAGCAGGTCTCGGTGTCTCGGGCGCTTCCGAGGGGCCGTCGGGGTCCATAAGCTGGCCCACCCCTGGCAGCAGCTCCACGTAACCGGGCCAGGCTGAGAGTCTGCGCAGCGCGTCCGGCGGCACCTCGTTCTTCGGTTTTTGCGGTTCTGACCCAGTGTTGCTTCCCTTGCTTGATCATTTTGCACATATTGCTCCACTTTGTTGGCCAAGGCCGGCTCTGACCCAAATTTGCCCCTCTGGCCCACTTGGCCAATTTGGCTCCCCTGTTTTGGACAAGGCAGCCGGTTCTGACCAAGTCTGGCCCCAACGCGAGTCCAGTGTGGGCCAAATTCAGACAAAGCAATTTCCGAATGAAGGACTTTGCGACAGAGCTGTGTCCACATGGAGCGGGGGGACCATCTCTCGAGACACCTTCCCTGGACCCGTACGGGAAGCCAACAAATGATGTAACCAAGGCTGAAAAAATGTGGGAAAGAGGTTCGTCCCCATTGTTTTGGAGCTAACATACATGGGAACAACCCTCCAAAACGAAGATGTAAAGTCTAACATCAAATCCGCTGGTTCCCTTTCGACCACCCCGAAAAGGAGGCCCTCGGTCTTCATTTGCTTCAGGCTTCCGGAAAAAGAAGAAGAGATAAAACATGTCCAGTAGTGGTAGATTCCTTTTAGAACCAACAGAACATAAAACAGATATTCATTTCTTCCAAATGGAAGTCAGAAAAGCAAAGTCCCACTGAGCAGTGAATCTCATTCTGCTTTCCTTTACCACGATGGAACCTTCAGGGCGAAGCCTTCAGGGCGTTGATGCGTGAGACCTATAGGGCAGGGGAGGTGTCTGAAGGTATAACAACGAAGAAATCTAAGGACAGCAACGACAAAAAATACAGCAACTGCAACACATCACAACATGAAAGTCCATGAAATTTGGTTTAACTGTCACGTAAGTTTAAATGGATGTGGGTCAAAAACCCGCTACCCCCCTTACCCCCAGATTCCTTGTTAAAATGGACCAAACAACTGGGGGGTTACCCCTTAAAAAGAAAGGTATCTAGGTTTTGACCCAGACCCAAATCTGTTCCCTTGACACAGTGAGCCAAGAAACAAAAAAAACGTGTGTTTCTCATGCGAGTTTGTGGCTCAACGCCCCGCCTGCAGCACCACCGCTGCCAGGCCCTCCTCCTCCGGCGGTGGAAGTCGCAACTTCGATCCCTCCGAGCCGTGGTAATGCCTCGAAAGGCGTGCGACGGGACAGTTGTGCGGGCCCTATGACATCATGGACCCTGAGGGGCGGGCTAGGGGGGCCTAGGGGGGGCGCTGGGGGGGGGGGCTATGCCTGGAGAAGGTCAGGATAAGCCAAGGATAAGGCCCAAAAAGAAGGCCTTGTTAAGCGGTCAATAAAGGATAGCCCCCCCCATAGGTCTCTTGGGGGGGTCCATGATAACATGACACCTGGCAATGGGGCTCTTCAAGAGGAAGCTGATCTAGGCAAGCACCCACACGTGCCTTCGGCTTGTGGAAGGTATGTGTCACAAGTCCCCAAACTGGAGGCTTTCGGCTTTCCTTTTGGTTCCTAGAACCGACCCGAGTAATAATAAAATTTGGTCGAGTGGACCCAAAAGCATGAAACGATGTCAAAGGTGGATGTCCGCATTGGTGGTTGGGGACTGCCCCGTACAAAGCTTTCTACCTGGGTTTGACTGCGGCACATGGGGACCCCAGGCAAATTGGGGGGGGGGGGGGGGTGGAGGGAATCAATCACGGGGCTAAGGGAGAATTGATTTTTTGTTTTGTTTCAGAACCACTCTTGCTCGACCGATTTTCATTGGTCCTTCAAGGGAAGACCAACCGCTCGTAAAGGATGGGCTACCCCTTGATGACCCATTAGCTTCTTCAAAAGTCAGTAGCATGCGGGAACAAATCATTTCGGAGGGCAAGCCTCCATATGGCCATCGGAGCCACCCTGTAAGACAACATCATGCACCTCTGCGTTGGACAAATCATGATTAGAGTTCGGCCCAGTTATAGAACGTATATCGTATTGTTTGCTTCACATGGAGTCACTGGTAAATGCAAAATGTATCCTAAGTCTACCCCAGAAATAACGTGCTCATAAATCTTCCAAAACAGCAAGCAAAGGTCTTGAAAAAAGGCGAACTACTGTGGATGGACGAAATCCTTCACCACCTAAGATCTGAGAAACCCTGGAATGATTCCCCTGTAAATACCAATAAACAATGGTTTCCCATGGTTGCAAATGTGGTGCAGATTTCGACCATCTGCGGTATCAAAGGCAATTAGAATCATGACCAACACACCCAGCGCTTTAAACACACTCTCACAAGAACAACATGATAAAAGGCAGACAACGGAAAACACAACAACACTGAGCAACATCCATACAAACACAAAATTAAGTTTGAAAGAACACATAAGCAACATAATGCAAGGCTTCAATCAGGTGAGGTGTCAAAGGACAACAGAAGTCTCACCCGCCGCAACAACTTCCATCGAGCCACAAACCAGAAAACAATTAATATAAAATCCCGCATAACACTAAGACTCATAACAATGAATGGCACCCCAAGAAACACAAAATGTTCATCAATGGGCCGACAGGCGGAAAAAAATGCGAAGTCGCGAGTAGTTACCCGGACAAACCCCAACACAAATGGACTTAGCCCCATTGATAAAATATACATCCTTACTGTCCGGTAGAGGAAAGGAACAACACACAATGATATGTCTCATGACTGCACGCAGATCGCACTGACAAGGCGGCAAGACTAAGTGAAGTGCTTGAGAAATCCAACGCAGGTTGGTTTCTAAACCAACAGTTGACACATCTTGAAAGACCAGTTGAATCGTCCCTGGCTTGGCTTCCCCAATTGTTTCACCTCAGATGCTCCCCGAGCAATGATTGTATGCTGGATCCTGGCCCGCGAAATTCGTGCAACGTCATTTGCCCATCCCCCAAAAAGGAGCCCACAATTCTCGACCTTGGGTCAGCAATTTTTTGAGGTTGGACCCCCCCAAAAATCAGGGTTTTCTTTGTAATGCCCCTGTACTTGGTTGCTGACCCCTCTGCAAACAGTGTTTCGCTTTGTGTGGATCCCCCGCCTGTTTCAACCAACAAGTTCAGGTCCAAAGATCGGTTTTGCAACCACTCCAAATGGGCTCACTTCCCAAGTTGACTGGCCAAAAAAAGTTTGAACTTTCTATTTACCACTAAAATGGTCTTTCCAAAAAGTTTACAGTCCGCCAACTCAGGAAGTGAGTGGGGCAGTCTCAAGAAACGACACATGTGCAGTCAAATGACTGGAGCTCCAGAGTGGTGTAGGGCCGCTGATACAGCCACTCCCGGTTCTCCACCGCCTCCAGATCCTCCTCGAAAAACTAACAAGGAAACCATAACCAGCGGCCGGAAGAACGGTGCCCTGTTTCGGAGGGATCCCTCATGTTGCGTCAGCACCCTCATGTTGCGTCAAAACAGGTCAGACTTTTAGGTTGCCACTCAAATCACTACAATGGCCTTCCCCAAAAGTCTAACGCAACTGAGGGTTTGCCTGTTGAGCTGATAGCTTTTGCTGGCCGTGTGCATAGTAAAGACAAGAGGTGCTCAAGCCACTTAGTTGGTAAGGGGACTTCCCACCAACTAGGTTCCTCCTGGAAAAGGGTTTTTTGCACTTCCATGTTAGTTGGTGGGAGGGTAACCCCAGTTACCCCACTTATAACAATGGTTGTAACCCACTAAGTTGGTTGAACCTTATAGTAAAGGCAAGCAACTCGAGTTACTTTTTCCGGGTATTGATCGGAATTCGCCTCATCCCTCATCCATCCCTCCCCCCTCCCCCCTCTCAGGGGCCCTCCATGGTCCAGGGTTTGCCCTCAGGGAACAGTCCCTTGAGAGGAATCTGTTTTTGTTGAGGTGATTGGGTTATCATGAGCCGATTCCGAGGTGGGTTGGTGAAAAAGGGTAGGAACCAAAGGTAGCCAAAGGCAAACAACTTGTTGCACACTTGCAGCTGTGTCTCCTGCAAGTGCGGCAAAGCCCTCCTGTTGACGCAACGTGTTGCCACAGCACCGATTGAGAACCTGCTTTCCGACAGCAATGTGACTCCAAGTCAGGATATGTTTTGGTCTGTTTACAGTGGTCACAGCACATGACAGTGCTTGGCTCTGGCCTGAATATGATCATACAAACTGCATGAGTTGTAATGTACAAGAAACAGCGTCTAACGATGACCCTCTAGTTAAAGTAACCGCCCGGAGCTTCAAACATCTCGTTAAACAATCATATTCAGCGAAAGCTGCCTGTTGCAGAAAGACGCGGCTTCTTCCAAGCAACGCAAAACACATAAAATGTTCTCCTTTTACAGATTTCCACAGGTTTGGCCTATATTCTGCGGGGTTTCCTTGGGTTGGAAGAGACAATGCTTAGTTAACAACAAACAAACACATGGCGCCATCTATCCTGACAGCCACAATGTTTGTGGAACAGCGACACAACAATCCAGTGCTGCCCTGCAAACTCGAAAAGCAGAGGTGCGTCAAGCTCGAAGCAGCTGCTTTGACCATGGCTTCGGTCGCCCAACCCTCCTTGGGCGGATTCTCTTCGGTGAAGGCAAAGAAGTAGAGGGTAAAGCCATACTTCCTTAGGCAAACACAGAAGATTGAAGGGACCTCTGTTACTTTCTGCTCCCCTGCGAAAAGCTTAACTTTTAGTGGTTTAATACGGAAAACCCATTAGTTGGCAAAAAGTTGTTCAGTCCTAACATCCCTTTGGACAAAGTGCATGGCCCAAAGGGACACGATTGAAGGGAAGATTGGGGGCCATGGCCTTTCCTGTTGGTTCCTTTGAAAACCATGCACAAAAAAAAAGACACGCTACTTCCACTTCCCAACTTCAAGACTCACAGCAGTGGCTTGAAGTTCATGTTCCAGGTTTTTGAGGGAAGTGGAGGCCACACATCACAGCAATATTTGTTACCTCCAGGTGGGCGCAGCTGAAGTTTTGAGACGACGAGTGGCCCGGAAGCGCGATGCGTAACAAAGGCTGAAAAGTTGGCATTGGCAAAGCGGCAGGTGAGGTAACTCTCGCAAAGTTAGCATGAAGGAAAAGTTGGCAGGCGAAGCGGCAAGTTGAAGCGAAAAGTTGGCATGAAGCTGGCAGGTTAAGTAACTCTCGAATAGTTGGCTGGCAAAGTTGGCGGGTGAAGTAATTCTCGCAAAGTTGACATGAGAAGTTGGCAGGCGAAGTAACTCAAGAGAAAAGTTGGCATGAGAAGTTGGCAGGTGAAATAACTCTCAAAGAGTTGGCATGAGAAGTTGGCAGGTGAAGTAACTCTCGAAAAGTTGGCGTGAGAAGCTGGCAGGTGAAGTAATTCTCGAAAAGTTGGCACGAGAAGATGGCGCGTGAAGTAACTCTCGAAAAGTTGGCGTGAGAAGCCGGCAGGTGAAGTAACTTTCGAAAAGTTAGCATGAGAAGTTGGCAGGCGAAGTAATTCTCGAAAAGTTGGCGCGAGAAGTTGGCAGGCGAAGTAACTCTCGAAAAGTTGGCAGGCGATGTTGGCAGGTGAAGTACCTCTCGAAAAGTTGGCATGAGAAGCTGGCAGGTGAAGTAATTTTTCGAAAAGTTGCCACGAGAGGTTGGCAGATAAAGTATTTCTCGAAAAGTTGGCATGAGAAGTTGGCAGGTGAAGTAATTCTCGAAAAGTTGGCAGGTGAAGTTGCCACGAGAGGTTGGCAGGTAAAGTATTTCTCGAAAAGTTGGCATGAGAAGTTGGCAGGTAAAGTAATTCTCGAAAAGTTGGCATGAGAAGCTCGCAGGTGTAGTAACTCTCGAAAAGTTGGCATGATAAGCTCGCAGGTGAAGTAACTCCTCGAAAAGTTGGCACGAGAAGTTGGCAGGTGAAGTAACTCTCGAAAAGGTGGCATGAGAAGCTGGCAGGTGAAGTAATTCTCGAAGTTTCGGCATGAGAAACTGGCAGGTGAAGTAATTAACCCTCAAAAAGCTGGAGCGGCGGAGGCGCTCCGCGTGCTACATTTGCAATTTACAGTTGCGATTTTCCAGCCATTTGTATCTAAAAGTTGCGATTTTCCAGCCGGAGCTGCGGGAGCACGCTCCGCGTACTACGTCTGTACTTAAAAAGTGCGATTTTCCAGCCGGAGCTGCAGCAGCCTCCGCGTACTACGTCTGTACTTAAAAGTTGCGATTTTCCAGCCGGAGCTGCAGGAGCACGCTCCGCGTACTACGTTTGTACTTAAAAGCTGCGATTTTCAAGCCGGAGCTGCCGCGGACCAGGGGGGAATCGAACCCGGGACCGCGGGATTGCGAAAGCAGGCGCGCACACCACGAGACAACTTCCAAAAGCCGTTTGCAAGAAAATCGCGGCGCGCACAGCGAGAGCGCTTCGACACGCACGATCAGAGGGTTCCGTCAAGACAAAGGCGCCACAGCGAGAGCGCTTCGACACGCACGATCTCCGCAGAAGACAAATTCGCACGGCGCCACAGCGAGAGCGCTTCGACACGCACGATCTCCGCAGAGGGTTCGCCAAGGTCAAGACAAATTCGCACGGCGCCACAGCGAGAGCGCTTCGACACGCACGATCTCCGCAGAGGGTTCGCCAAGGTCAAGACAAATTCGCACGGCGCCACAGCGAGAGCGCTTCGACACGCACGATCTCCGCAGAGGGTTCGCCAAGGTCAAGACAAATTCGCACGGCGCCACAGCGAGAGCGCTTCGACACGCACGATCTCCGCAGAGGGTTCGCCAAGGTCAAGACAAATTCGCACGGCGCCACAGCGAGAGCGCTTCGACACGCACGATCTCCGCAGAGGGTTCGCCAAGGTCAAGACAAATTCGCACGGCGCCACAGCGAGAGCGCTTCGACACGCACGATCTCCGCAGAGGGTTCGCCGGCTCAAGACAAATTCGCACGGCGCCACAGCGAGAGCGCTTCGACACGCACGATCTCCGCAGAGGGGTGCGTTTCGTAAGCTCCCGTCGGGCCTACCCCCGCCATAAAAAGAAGAAGAATTAAGAGTCGAGAAGTGAAGGTAGAACAGAAAAGTTAGCTTGTGTTTTTAGGATAGTGAAGTAACACCCGACAAATTAGCTTGTGCTTTTAGTAGAATGAGATAACAGCCGAAAAGTTGACATGAGAAGTTGGCAGGTGAAGTAACTCTCAAAAAGTTGACATGAGAAGTAGGCAGGTGAAGTAACTCTCGACAAGTTGGCATGAGAAGTTGGCAGGTGAAGTAACTCTCGACAAGTTGGCATGAGAAGTTGGCAGGTGAAGTAACTCTCGACAAGTTGGCATGAGAAGTTGGCAGGTGAAGTTGGCAGCCGCTTTTAGAAGAAGAACCCTTCGCAATGCTTCCGGGAAAAACTAAACTCCTATTTGGGCATGAATCTGAATTAGGGACCCTTTGGACATCATTTAGGTGGGGATTCATGTCCACCAGCCACTTTTGAGGTGATTTGGAGCACAAACGACAAAGACAACTTAAATCGAAGTCGAAGAGCTCAACATGCTGGCCAGCCACATGGCATGTAAGCAGTCTCAACGCTGCTTCACATCCACCTAAACATGAAGAGAACCAACCAAATAAATACACGTAACAAACTACCAACCAGCGAAGAGTGGGTCTGTTTCGACGTTGCATACGAAGGAACCACCTTACAAAACGGTGTTTTTAAAAGGTTTCGAAACCCAAAAAATGCGCCGCGGTCTGGCCATGCCTTTCCAAGCTGAGTGGCGTAACTGGCTGGATCGAGAGCAGCTTCATGCCCAGCTCCCGGTAGAAGCGGAGCGAGCGCTCGGGCTCCGTGATGCGCGTGGTGATCTGGCCCATCACGAAGTCGCCCATAGGCCCGGCGCCGGTTCTGGGGAAACGCGGTCGCTGGATTTAGTTAAAACCAACAGGGGGAAATAAAAAAGTATTCTCAACCAAATGGAAGAAACGCTGCCGTGACACACACTGCCTCCAGTTGCTTTCTGATGTTTCGCCCCCTGGAAAAAGGAGACGATATGTCCAGTGACAGATTCCCTTCAACACCAACAGGGGGAAGTAAGAAATTGTCTTCAGCAAATGGAAGATTGTGTGTTAGTTGGCCCCTAGAATCAGCTTCCCCGTATTTGGTGGCTTGGATTGGTGGGTTAGACGTTAGGGGGCCACCTTCCCGTTCAGCTTCAACAATAGGAAACAGCAAATCCCCAAACAACCAATTCAAACCAGCAAATGAGAGCCACCTGATAGAAATCGTTCTGAGCATCCTCATCCAAATGAACACATGGGTGCTTTTTTTGTTTTTCGTTTTTTGGTGGCCCCCAAAAAGGACACCATAATTGCGGTTTTTCCTTTTGGCGTGCCCTCAAACCCCCGCCAAAAAGCGGCTCACCACCTCCCCCCCAAACAAAAACCCCTGGACCCCGGGCTGGACAGCCCGGACCCCCGCTCGAGGCCTCGGGCGACTCTTCAGCTCCTTCCTCTCGGCCTCGGAGCCTTCGAAGGTGGTCTGCAGCAGCTCGAAGCAGAAACCTCCGCTCCGCCGCTTCCCTCCCGCGCCGCGCGATGCTTTTTTCGAATGCGCGCGAAGTTCGTTCGCCGAAAGCGGGGAAGGAGTTGCACGAGTCTGACGTCCGGAAAACGAGCCAACTGGTGGTTGCCTTTTAGAAAAACCCGTGAAATCAGGGAAAGAGCCCCAAAAACCCTCCCTGGTTTCCTTAAAGCGCTGCTTCGGTCCGCAGGGAACGAGGATCGGATCCATGCGACACCCCCAATTTTTCAGCCGAAAGGCAAGCCCATTTATGTATGCTCAGTACGGAAAGGGTGGCATTTGTATCCTTTCGAGGGGTCCGGCCTCTTCCGCGAGGAGTCAAATTGGTTGTCCACCCAAATGCTCCTAGATCCTTTGAGGTGTGGGGGAGCTCCAGTTTCGCCTCTGGGACAGTTGGGTGAAAGTAGATGCCACAATTCCGATTCCCATCTGGCCGTGGGTCAAAATCCCGTACCCCCAGTCAACACCCCAATCCCCACCAAAAAAGACTAAAATGGGTGGTGCAACTATCCCAAAATGGTACCATTGGTATTGACCCACAGCCATCTTGGTTCATCCTCCGCTTGCCCGCAAATTGCGCCTGAATCCACCCACCGCTCTCAGCGAAAAGCGAAAACAAATCGCTCGCCCCTCCGACGTCGCCTGCTGGATCCCGGTAGTGGGTCAGAAACCCGATGTCCAGGAACTGCTCCCCGGGCTGACAGCCCGGCAGTTGCCGCGACGCCTCCTGATTCTTTCTTGAGGCACACTTCCCGAGCTTGGCCAAAACAACAACAACAAAAAAAAAAAACGGGGCGGGGGGGGAAAAACAACAAAAACTCGGTGTTTACCCCTAAAATGGCCTTCCCTAAAAGCGACTCAAGTCCAGGAGCTCAGGGAGTGAGGTGAAAGAACGCATGTTCCCCCCAAAAAGGACACTAGTGCGCGTCCCCCGGTTTTTGAGGGTCGATTGAGTGAGTTCCCCCCCCATGTCCCTCCAAAAGAACCATGGACCACGAATGGGTTTGTCCGAAACTCAGATACTAAGTTGATGTAGCGAATAGAAGCCGCCAGCAACAGTGGGAGAATACTCCCCTGCATATTAACAAAAGGAACCCCCACCCCGCCTTTCTTACGAAAGGAAGCTAATGCTTGGTAGTTGGCAGGGTTCCATGTTGACTTGCAGGGGAGTAGACCTTCTGTGGTCAATTCCTATGACTGCTGTATCACGCAAAGTGGGATTCCCTCCTTCATAAAAAGTAAGTCAAGGTGGTATCCCCAACAGGCTCCCACAAGGCTTTTCCAAACCACCCCAGAGCCGATCTGGGCAGAGACCCCATAGCTTTCAGCCGTTGGGGCAAGACAAACAGTTGCCACGATGCTCCTGCACGTCATGCACCGCCAAACCGATCTTCCAGTAGAGGTCTGTCCTCCGGGCAAGACGCCATCAAGGGAGTTCAAATGAGTTGACGCCTCCAGTTGGGTGACCGATTTTTGTTGAAACATTGAATCACCAACTCACTTCCGGAGTGGATGGGCCAAAAAAGTGTCCCAACCTGTTCTCTCGGTTTCGAAATCTGCTCCCCTGCTAGAAGTGAATAACTTTTAGTGGTTTGGTGGAAAACCGCTTCATTTGTTGGCAACAAGTTGTTCAGTCCTAACATCCCTTGGCAAAATGCACCACAGCTCTAGTGCCAGTAAACTTTGGTCCAACCCCGAAAAGTCCACGACGAAACTCCGAATCGGACCTCCAGTGAGCCAAATCCCGGTCCTGGAGCTCTGGTAGCGCACCTGACACAACATGCTTCAGGTGAAAAGAAAAACGCAAACACCAACAGGTCGCTTGAGAAAGCTCAGCCTGAGTATTCCTCATAAACCCAAGTCTGTGTGCTGACGATTGAGTCAATTTAGGCTTGGACCTCTCCGCGATTGACCTTTCATGTTCAAGAGCTGGGTGCTTTGTACCGTGGGCACCTCACATGAGAGCAAGCAAGAGTTTCCAGCCAAACGTCCTGACCCCCCCATTAAACTACCTTCGTATCCTTCATCGAAATCATCCTGAAATGTGGTCAACAGGGGGCTAAGCCGAGCGGCGGACTGCACACTGAAAACCGCTCAAAATCATGGGACACATCGGATCAGTGACCGGGTAGAACCATTGGGACTCCACCGCCAAGTGATATCATCATCGTCTGTGTCTCACTGGCTGAGTGGATGGCCCAAAAAAAGTCCAAACGTTATATTTGCCACTAACATGGTCATCCCAAAAAAGTTTGAAGTTCATGAACTCAGGCACTGTTCAGTTGACACCTACTACTTGTAGACGAAACTACATTTTCACCATTCAGTGCCTCCTGAGACGTGCTGATGTCCCACGTCCCACATAACAAACGGCATCCGGTCTGATGCCTTTGGCCTTCGGTTGTCCCCAATGCGCACCAACAAAGAAAGGGCTGCAGCAACAGAGGGATCAAACTGCAACCCGTTTTGTGGTCAGCCAAAAAAAAAAACAAGTCTTACTGGGCTGTCCTCAGATACTCTGCTCAAAGTTTGACTGAAAACTTCAAGACCTAAGGGAATGGGAGTGGTTGCAACCACTTCACCCAGCCCAAGGGTTTCCCCATGAAGGGAAACCTTGGAGCCAAGGAGCCCAATGATGAACCAGTCGGGGGGTTCTGGTTTTCTGGACCCCCCGTCGAGCTGTCCCTTCGTGAAACCACCGCCTTTTTGGTTCGAGGGAGCGGTATCGCCCCTTTTGCAGGTTGCAACAGGGGGACATGGCGCGGACACCCTGGCGAATGGAGGGTTTCCTGGCTGAGTTGGCCCACCCTCATACCCTCTTTCCAACAATCATGGAACTGAACAGGGGGCTAGAAAGGAAAGTTGTCTTGCAAAACCCTCCGATCAGCTCCCATGATTGGAGGGATAGCAGGAGACGAGAAGGTCTCTCTCTAACGATTTGGTAAGAGATCTTTAGACTCTCTCACACCAAAGGAAAGTCGTCTTCCAAATCCGATCCTCAGCTTCCATGATCTCAGTTGCCCCGCAAATATGGACCAAAACCGGGAAACAAAAAGGTCAGATCCGGTCGATTCGCTTTGGGCAAGTGAGATGATGAAATCAAGTGCACCAACTCAGGCCTCGTGCGAATGGCTGATCTCCTCGCGTGAGTGTATGTGTATGAGTGATTGGGAGGCGAGCTCTCGCACGCCGCAAACCAAACTTGTTGGTGCTCAGAAACGGGAAACCCCGTACCCCCAGTGAACATCCCAATCCCAACTAAAAAACTAAAATGGGTGGTGCACCTATCCCAAAATGGTACCATTTGTGTTGACCCACAGCCATATGGAATGGTTTATAGGTGTCATTCCATTTCTCATTCCCCCTAAAATGTACATTTTTTGGGACCCCCAAAATGTGTGATTTGAACGTGCGATGGAGGCTCTTGCCGGGATGATGTGTGCATATCTCATTTTTGGGGGTTTTGACTGAGCCCCCGCAAACACCTCGCCCCGACAACTGCTACCATGATCAAAGTCACCCCCTAAGTGTGTGTTAAAGGGAAACAACCCCATTTACTGACTATGATACCCCCCAAAAAACGTCAAAATAATAACCCCAGGACAACGTTCGCTCAGTTGCCCTTGCCTTGGCATCCGGCAAGAACCGCAAACCGCAGCTCGCCGACGCCCACGGCAATACGAGCCCGCCTCCTTGCGGATGGATCCCAGAAACGGTTTGTGGAGACTTAGCTTAAGCCCCCTGGACAAAAAGAGAAGAACAAAACACATCCAATAGTGATTCCCTACGGCCCCTAAAAACGGATAAAACAACAACTATTTCCAGTAGTGATTCCCTTCACCACCTGGAAAACGGGGAAAACAAACTATGTCCAGCAGTGATTCCCTTTATACCATCAATAAGGCAAACATAAGCACTAGGTCCTCCAAAGAGATTAGAATACGGGTACCCGATTTGTGTTTTTCGGTCGTCTATTTTAGTATATAGGGAACCCTCCCCAAAAAAAAGGGGTCAAAGGGCACGACTCGGGGACCTAGTCCCAGAAAATGTCCAGTTCCATGATTGCAGACAAAAGGCCACTACATGACGGGTGGCTGCCCCGTTTTCCGCTGGGAGTGATTTGCAGGTTGGGTGAAAGTAGATAGCACAATTCCCTCATTTTGGTTCAGTCATTCCCTTTACCCACATGAACCCCTGTGTATTTCAAGACCGACAAGAGCCATCTGGCAACATTCACAAACTGTTGGAGAATGAAAGTTGGAAACATTGCGATAAAACCATGGTTTGAAAGCCTCTTTCAACTTCCCAACCCTTGATACACCCATCTGGGTGTGCGGGCATATGGGTTTAGATTGCATACGTACAGTGGACGGAAGAAACCGTGGAATGATGATTCTCCAGTAAGTACCAGCAAACAATCGCTTCCCATGGTTTCAAAGTGGTGCAGGATTTCGTCCATCCACAGTAGTGAGCTTAAAAAGCAGCTTCGTGCAGCTACCCAAGGGGTGGTTTTTCGGGAAAAGGGAGAGCCCAGTTTGGCTCCTAAAGCGAAGCAAGACAAAAGCCATGTCAGTTGTTCCAGCTTTACATCGTTGAAAGCTAAAAGCAGACCCAACCCATCCATTTCGCGCTCCCGCCCAACCGCGTGGAAAAAATCCACAACTTTTCGCCGGGAAGCCACCAACCAAAACAAGGTTCTAGGGCTACCTTCCCCATTCTTTCCAGGGACCCTTCTTTCAGGAAACCTTCAAAAACCCAGGGAAACAGATCCGGTTTTTGAAAAGAACGATGGTTGAAAAGAGTGGAAAAGGACTCGACTTGTTGGGCGTCCCCTCAGAGGATCTTGAAGTCCTTCAACACACGTATATACTTGCAGCCTGGGATTTTCGACCTGTTGCATCCCCCATACTTGGCAGCTGTAACGACCCCTCCGCAAAAGGCTGTGACCGTTTTGGGGGGCCTCTGGAAAATCCCACCTGTTTCAACCAAAAAGTTAAGGTCCAAAGATCCGTTAACACATAGCCATGAAGCATAAATCATCAAAGGGCACATAAACAAGCACAGTGACCTGAAATTGAAGGAAACCTTTGATGTGGCCGCACCCTTTGTAAGAAATCCCAACCAACCCACGACCACCCTCCCATCAATTGAGTATGCATTCAAATGATGAGTCTATCCTAAAAATGATCTCAGACATGTGGGGGGTTCCGTTTAACTTCCCTTTAAACCTACCCGAACAGGGTACCCTCAAAAAACAGCTGGCCATGGGTCACCACCCCGTACCCCCAGTGAACATCCCAATCAGCACAAAAGTAGACTAAAATGGGTGGTGCACCTACCCCAAAATGGTACCATTGCTTTTGACCCAATTCTGCCCCCGCCTTCTCCCAAAGCGAAGCCCAAGCGGGTGTAGAAGTCCAGCAATGGCGTCAACTTGTCCGGCGTGACCCGCAGCACGCAGAAGCCCAGCTTCATGATGTCAGGGCCCAACACAGAGTGGAGGCTTCAACACAAATAATTCGTTTTTTTGCAAAAGTCAGCTATTCTCATTTGCAAATTGATGGGAGTTGTCAGATTGCAAAAACAAATCTAACCTGATCAAGCCCTGCAAACTGCCCCATACTAAACTTCATCCATTCGGGTGGTGTTGAATTTTGGCTCACTTGGTTTCTTTGGAAGGGGCTCCTGGATCCCCGAGTTTTCTCCTAGAAAACCGAAGGCTCGAAGTCCATGATCCGCTGTCGGCACCCTCGAGCTGATGGCCGCAGGCAAACCAACTTTTTCTGTGCCCTTTTGTCTGTTCTCTATTTTAGTAAGGGAACCCTCCCCCAAAAGGGCACTGGGGGACCTAGTTTTGCTGGCGGCCAGTCAAATGGCTGGTTGCCCGTCGTGGCACCTGGCATCTATTGGGACAAAGAGATGTGTTTTGTTGCATTTCCACGTCTGTGACACCTGGCAAGTTAATCATTTGTGTTTTGAAGGGAATGCAAACCGTCGAGTTGTTGCTTAACTTCCGAAACCCACACTTGAATTGGTGTCATTGTTGAGGGGACCCCCCCAAAAAAACAAAAGAACATATGGTGGCGTTCCTCGTGGTTTCGCTTTACAAGCCACAAACAAGGGGTATGTACTTACAAACATACAGACCCAAATATTGTTCACTCATATGCCCCAAGACTGCATCGACTGAACAGGGTTTCTTCGACCCGAAAAGGGCTGAACATTGGTTGAAGGGAAACAGGGCTGTTCATATTTCCGCTTTAAACATCCAGGAATTTCATGTAAGTTCCAACGTGACCACCCAAGCTAAACAACATAGCTGACACCGTGGTTTCCCACAAACCGTATTTTGCCGACGCGTGTCCTCGACCTCGGGATTTCCATGCGAGAAAAGAACAAGCGCCGTGTTGTTGCTTGAGTTTAAGCGGACACCCTGCAAGAAAGCGGAAAAGGCTGGTAGTTGGTTTTAATTGTAGAACCCCCCCTTCAAGAAAAGGAGGGAACCACGGAATGCGGTCAGGGCTTCGGAGCAACTAGTTGGAATCGACCGTCAAAGAAGAAGGGTGCTTCTCAAAGAAGGAAGCGGACTAAGGACTGACGATGGTGACGGCTTCCTTTTGACTTCCTTCTACATACCAACTTTCGCGCATCCACGGTAGGGGGTAGGCGTGGAACAGCCAAAGGCCAACAGGATGCTCTGTCGAGACCCAGACACCACTGCGGTGTTCAAGGCGGAGCGCAGGAAGGCTTGTCGGGGGTCGCCTCAGGCGGCATCGGGAGCCTTCGTTTGGGTTGGTCAAAACGGAAATCAAAGAGGAAACCTCAGGCTTTGGGGGTCACCCAAGTAAGACACTTTTTGTTGTACCCAAATAGGCACAACACCAACACCCTCATTTTGGCAGACCAAACTCGGACTCCTGCCAGAAAGTGGACTCTTTGCTGGTTAAAAGGGAACATCAATGACACCTACAAGGGATAAGGGCACGATTGGTCAAGTATTCTAATGTTGCGGGGGTGCTCATAGAAAAGGTTTAAGCAATGAGAGCCAGCAACTATTGGGTGTTTCGAATAGCCAACTTACCCCAACCAAAACATCGGTTGTCAGCCTCTGAAAAATGGGTGCAAATGGACAAGTCGAACTGGTATTGGCATGCGTCGAACGGGGCACCCGTTACTTCCTCAGGCCAATGGAAAAATATGATTGGATTCCGGCAAAGGGAAAAACATCTTCGGACCGTTCGTTGATCCTAAAACAAGGCTCAAATGGAAGTCATTCCCACTCTCACAGCTGCCAAGAGACTTCTATAGGCAGGACTTCTGCTATTCCCATTGCCAAGGACTCTCACTTCTGGTCGGTTTTGTGTGTCATGCTCTGCGACACCCTTGGAATGACCTGAAATGGTCCAAAGTAACTCAGAGCTTGTTGACCAAATGAGTGGCAATTCGCCCCACCCGTCCGAGGAAAGAAAAGGGGTTGTCGCGGGGTGCGTCTGAAGTTTTCCCTTTGGTTCTCTACAAACACAAGCAGCATTCATTCTTGTGAGACACCCCCTTGCACATGACAAAGCTTCATTGTCCTTATCCCAGGTGTCAAATTGGACTCATCTTGGATTCTGGCATCCTTCTGGCCAAAACTCCCGTCCCCTTTTGTTGTCCTGCATGGAAAATTCCACATCCCATGTTGGTTTCCTGCTACAGAAATACCCATCCCTTGATTTTTGACAAGCTCTTCTTCTCTTGTTCAATACCTTTTTGGAAGAAAAAACTGAAATTGCTTTAAACAAATACCCACCTTGTATTTTGTAGGGCCCCTTTCTTGAACAAAAAGCGGTGCCGCTGATATCACCGCGCCTTTTTGTGGGCAGCTTTGCCACCGGTGAAACATCGCTGGCGGGCTGCAACCAAGTTCGCAGTCATCTTGGGCAAATTCCTGAATCTTTGGAGATCCAAAGCATTGCTTCAGAAATGGTAACCCGGGATTAATAAACTCGCTGGTTGATGAACAGGGGGGGGCGTCCCCTTGTAGTGGTTCATCACTTTTGGAGCTACCACCCCCCCAAAATAATAGCACAACTTCCTGATTCTTTGCCAGGGATCCAGGGCATTGCTCATCCAGGAGGCCCATTCGGACCCCGAAACTGGCTCTGAACCACCCACCCCCCCTTCGCCTTCCTTGTACCTGCCCCCCAGATGGGATTCCATTCCAAAAAGGGAGGCCTTTGAAACCAAGCTAGGAACCCACACTACTGGGGCCTGGAGAGGTCCCATGACACAAACACTTGGGACAATGGATAACGTACCCATTCTGAACAAAGGGATCCTTCCGGATGCCAAGCGAAACAAACGCCGCCTGGAAAACGGAAGACAATGGCTGAGTATGGGGATTCATCCCATATCAAGCGATTCTATTGACAGGTAACCAAGGGAACCTTGCAAACTCCAAAAGGATACTAGCTGGTTCCCTACTAGACTAGTAGCTGGGATATGTATTCTCAACCAGGCATGTCCCTGCAAATCCGAAGGGACAAGACGATCAACCAAATCGAATGGACATTGCAAACCAATTGCGTGCATCCCCTTGTGCGTGCACAATTTCAAGCCGCTTACCCAGTTCTCGTTGCTGTTTCGCAGCTCACTCAGTTGCAGCGCATTATCCTTCCAGGGTGTTTTCAACACCCTGTGCCCTTGTGCGTGCATAGTGTTGGCTAAATGTGTGGGCCAAAGAAGCTTCTCTCGAGCAAATGAGGCTAAGCAGTTCCACATGATGACCTCCTCGGGCAAAACTTCACACTGTCACGAGAGAACTCATGTTGACCTTTGATTCATCAGTGGGGTGTTTCTAGAAAGAAAAAAAGCAGCTACCATGGAGGAGCACGTCTTGAAAACCATAGCAGGGGTTGAACAGTACGTCAACATTCAGGGCAGACCAACGCATGGACCCGACATCAAGCCAACTAGGTTAGGAGAGCCCAGGCGTGCAAAGTACATCAAGAACCCAAATAACTCTGAATAATTAGGAGCAATGCTCACCCAACCGTGGTTGCCAACTAGCAGCATGACTTGGGTTCAATATGCAAGGTCCTTTTGCGGCAGCAGCGAACACACAAGCGTCCACGTAACCAAGGCCACAGTGTCTCATTAGACTGCCACGATGACAACTGCGCTCTTATGTCAAATATTCTTATATGATAGGCCTGTCAAACATTTGTCAAAGAGAAACCGAAAGGATACCATTGCTAGCTGGATTGAGGGAGGGGATAGTTTGGCGCATGCGTCCCATGTGGCTCAATCTCATCTCTTCGCACTCCCAGGCTATTCCCCTGCGAGTAAACGGAAGGAACCTCACAAAGCCAACATATGATTTCTCCCCAGCTCTTGCCAACCAAAATATCTTACTGCTGGTCCATATTTAGTGAACCTTAAACCTCACGCTCATGCCAGAGATCCCCGGTTTTGCAAGGGACACCATGGATTCCTTCCGCTCGATTGCAGAGTACCCGCCAGCTTGCGGGCTTGCGGGCGTCGAGCTACGGGTGGTGTGAGTCAAACCGCGCCTGGCGGGGAATCGGGAAAGCCGAGACAAAACGGGTGCGGGGTATCATCGAAACGCCCCCTGAAGTGTATTAACACCCGTAGTTTCTGAAACCAAACGAGAAGCAGGCCTCTTTTCCACAAACCGTCATTTTTCAGAGTACCCTTCACAAACGGGTGTGGGGTATCATTGAAAAGTGGGCCCTTAAATGTATTCAAACCACCTCCTTTTGGTTTCCCTTTCAAGAGGCCCACCTAGATATCTCAACACATGGGTTTGGTGAGATCAAGCTGGGGCTTTCAATGGACCCAGACCCTCCATTGGACATGCGAGGGGTGTTTGGGGGTCTCAAAACCTGGCTAGTTGAGGGCCCTTTGTCTCAATCGGGAGCCTGTGGGCAGGCACAAACGGTTCATTTTTTGGCGTTGGCTTGAAACCCCAGAAAAGCTGCCGATTTTGGAGCTTCGATTTGTTTTAGCCTCACAAGCCGGCTCGCTGGAACACTTACATGACAGGGACTGAAACAAGAGAAGAGCTGGGCTCTGAAGCAACGACAAGGGCTTCTTCTTTTTTGTGAGTGAGCTGAGAACCCCAAACCAAACTCAAGGGAACCCGCCTATAAAAAACGACTTCCAAAGTCTTCAGTTTCAGGCTCAGCACGACACCTATCAAGGCCCCAGGGTCCAAAACGTTTCAATCCCCAGCTCAAACTTCGCACCATCTTTCTGGTTCTAGTGGGGATTGTTTTCACTTTTGGAGGGGCCCCCACCCCCCACCCCCCTATCATCAAACTGGGGAGTCAGCATTGCACCCCGGCGTTTGTTTTCCTGTTGATCCCAAGGGTCGAACGGGAACAAGCCAGGGAAGAAAGAACCGAGCGCTCTCCTTTTGCGGTTGACTTCGAGGACAAAGGTAACGCCACCATGGAGTACCCAATGCGCACCCAAAGCATGTCAGTTTCTCCTTCATGTGTCGATTACCCTAACATACCTGGAGTCTCCATGACCCTTTAAACATGGGCTCATGACCCATGTATTTCGAATGACCAACCTTTTTCTAAGGGTCACGGAGACTGGTAGATTGTTTTTGGACCGAACGGGACATTTGCCAAAGGTCCATCGAGAAGACTGTCTTCCTGTCCAGAGGGCACCCTAGGCCACAACCGCGTTGGAACAGGCTTCGCTGGATTTCCAAAAACAAATCAAAGCTAGGTCCTGTAGAAAGGTTGGAATAAGGGTACCAACTTGTTGTTTCTGTTTCGTCTATTTTCGTAGGGGAGGGCACTGGGGCACCTAAGGTGAATCACTTCCATCGAACCCATCGCTTTTGGAAACCTGAAGAGGGAAATCTCTCGGAAACAAATCACTTCCATCGAACGCATCGCCACTTTTGGAAACCTGAAGAGGGAAATTATAAAAAAAAAAAAAAAAAAAAAAAAACTCTGAAAGCCCGGCCTCTCTGTCCTAGAGGTGGAACGGCACCAGCTTCCGCATGGGGAACGCCTTGCCGTGCCCTGGCGAACTGAACCAACGGCAAGGTGCAAAAAGTATTTTTACGTTTCCTGGTAGCTGGAGGGAGGTCGGGAAAAAAAGAAGTGTTTGACCTTGCTGTGGGGGAAAACCATCATGTCCCATCTGATTCTTTGTTTTTTAAGGGGAAAAAAAAAACATGCTAAACATACTGTATCCAAACAAGGGTCCCCTAATGTGGACACCCCACCTCCCCTCCATTTTTGTCCGGCCAAATCCAAGTGACTCGACCAACTTGCGAGGAATCAGCTCCACACTCTGGAGGTCCGGAAGGGCAACCGTTGAACTCAGGGGACTTGGATGGACTTGGATTGGGCTTGCCTCCAAATAAGGAACTCCCCAAATGGTGGTGTTCCCGTCGCTTGCATGTAAACCAAAAAAAACAAGCTACCCTGCAAAAAAAAGACAGACCCTCATATTTGAAACAAACATGTCCGTAGAATCATGGTTGTAGTCTACTTGCGAAGTAGGTTTAACATCTAATGGAGTCGGCCATTTCCGAGTGGTGTTGAGCGGCCCTAGCGTGTAAATCCCACTGAGTGGGATGGCAAGGAGCTACAAATTAGACTTTCAGCATCCAGGCCCTCGGGGCCCAAGACCTCATTGTTTAAGGTCTTGAGGGGTCAAAGGCCCTCATATTTAGGGTGTTGGGCTCCTAGGGAGGGTAGATCCACTCAAGCTTTCTGTGGTTGCCTTGAGACTTTTCCAGTGGCTAAACGAATACGACCGTTTCAGGTTGACTTCCCGCACGCAAGCAACATCGCATCCTCAACGCACCCCAACAGGCTTTCGCGGTGCCGTGGGATTCAATGGTAGGTCCGGATCTCCACAGAAAAAGGACACCTCCTATCAACCAACCAGCAGTCTGTGAATCCTGGGTCAAATATTTGAGAAGGTTCCTAGCTGTCCTTTTGGAAGAAATAGTTTGCACTGGGAAATTGCTAGAAACGAACTGAAAACTCCGGATTCTTTTCTACTTTTCACCAAGCTGCCCGGTTGAAAGTAAAACTACTGCAAATGTACGCCCCTAGTCACACCCCGCCCATTGAAGCAACGAAGTCGTGCCTCCTCGCAGGGGGAAGAGTTGGGGGTTGGACGCATGGAGGATATCCTGGCTTCAAAGACCCAGTCGGCAGGCTCGAAAATCGGGTATGCATCTGTCATTGGGGACCCTTTGAAGGTTTTCACGAGGTAGGGATGTATGTCCCACAGCCACTTTTGAGGTAGTTCTCTCCTAAAATGTGTCAATTGGCAACCTTGGCGCCGGGGAACAAGTTCAGCAACGCCTGTGGGCCTTACGAGCTTTGAGTTCGGCAATGCTCGCTGTAGTGAACCAAGATGCAGCACCGAGCCTCCAAAGGATCAAGGGTAGAAGCTTGGATTCCTTTGATGCACATTACCACTGACCACATTACTTGGTCAAGTCTCAAGCCTGAGCCGATTTGAACCCTGTCTTACAATCATTCCGTCGATTTCGGCTTAAGGGCAAAGACGTTACCGGTGGCATCAAGCTGCCACGACTCAAGGTTCAGAGTGCAGGAGCTTCACGATCGCGGATGTGGGTCTGTCTTTTCTTGGGAAAACGCCCCTTGCCTGGTGGTTTTAAAGGGAAACCAAAAGGAACACCACCATATTTGCTTGGTTTCCCCATGAGTAACGGCAAAAAGTGGTTCAGTCCTAACATCCCGAAAGGCAAAATTTGCACCAAAGTTTCATTGTTATTCGGGGGGGGCAGTGACGTTGATTGCCACTCAGCCACATCTTCTTGTGGATGCCCAAAGGTCACCAGCCGTTTTTGAGCCCCAGGAAGCTGCAAGGAGTTGTAACCAGCTCAAGGGGGCTCACGGTTCCCTGGGCGTTTTGCGAGTAAGTTATAGAATAGTGGGTTATGAAAGTGAACGGTCGGAGGCCTCTCAAAGTTTGCGTGTGTCTTTCATGCTTCTTGGGGGGGGGGTTCTGCTGAGGGGTTGGTGCATAGGACATTTGACGTGAACCTGTGCAACATGAACCATCATGGCCAGCCATCAATTGCACATGAACCAAGCCAGTGGAAAAGCCCATGCCAGTTCTTGTCATGTTCCTTGTGGGAAACATGGGGCACAAATTGGCGGGCTGTAAAAAGCCTCTGGGCTCCACCCCGCAAGCAAACTCAAGCCACAGGGTAAGGTGACTCGTTCGGTTCCTGGGGTCGAGTTCCCCGTGTTTTTCTTGCCATCAGGCCGGTGGCTCTGGGATTGAGGATTGGAAGTGGACACAGGGCCTAGGTCCTCCAGATTTGAGAGGTGCTCGAATAAGTTGCTACCCGATGTTTGTTTTCTGTCGCCTATCTTAGGGGAACCGAATCTCCTAACCAAGAAAGAAACGGGAGAGAAGGGCACCAGTTGCTGGGGGACCTAGCGGCCAAATGCCAATGGGACCTTGGAGAATTATCCCAGGTCATAGAGGCCGTTCTGGACGAATGCCGCTGGTGGCCGGAGCCGGCATATCATTGGCCGAATGCTGGTGGCCGGTTGGCCGGTCTCACTTAGCCTCTCTTGAGGTAGGTGTGCGGGCTGTGGATCAAGAATCAAGAATCAAGAATCAAGTGAGTAATTTGGCAGGGAGTTAAGTTGAACCTGACGGACTTGGGGCGCTTGCGCCCCCAAAGTGATCTGCATCCCTTCTAAAACTCGGGACTCTTCGGCAGGGTATGTATCGAATGCAGCAAACGGCAATCTGGCTGGCATTGGTTTCTCTTCGCCACCTGAACATTACCCAAATGGTAAGTTGTTTCTTTTTAGCCTGGTCAAGGTCATGCTGTCTCAAAATGCTACAATAATGCCCAAACATGAATTAAAGGAAGCCACAGTAAAGCATGGCGAGCTCGGAGAAAACACCCGAACGCTGAGCTCGAAACCCATAGAGGCAAATGGCAAATGTGTTACGTAAGCGTAAATAGCCGTTCTTGTATCTTGGAAGCCCTTGGGGGGGGACTTCAAGTTAAAGGGCACCTGAAACGTTCACCTGAACCGGTCCAAAGTGTCTGATGGTTTTTCTGCTCGTTCGGTGAACAATACGTACATGCCATGTTGCAATACGAAGTCTACAGAAAGCCAAAGGCAGCAACCAGCACCCGGTCCCAACGTGAACTTCAGGATTTCCATCTTCTTCCCCCTTGCTTCAAAAAGAACCGGCATGCGCCGTACCATCGAAAATCGCGCCACACACTCACAGACTCATTTTCTCATAACTGCCATTGGCCTCGTGCATGAAAAGGTCGTCACCCTCGTAGTAGTCATCCCCTAGCAGAGTGCCATATTGCGCCAGTCTCCTTGTGAATTCGAATAGGGGGATCCTCAGATTGGAGAACCCCACGTTTTAATGCCTGAAAGGAAGCACGCGATAAGCAAACTGGCAGTGATGCCCCGTTTTCAATAAAACTTCCAACATGCGTTTTCTGGGGTCTCTTACAGGAAGCGTCTTTGGGAATTCAACATCGAACAGAAACTGCAAACCAACCCAAAAGGCTTGCCAAGGCTTACTACACTTATCACACCTTTCTGGGAAATCATCAGTGGCCATGATGTGGCCATGAAGCCACGGTTGAGCCTTCAACCTTGGTTTCTCGACCCTTTTTTGCTGGTTCAAAGGAAACCGAAAGGAGAACCACTTTGGGTCCCCTAAAAAGGACACCCCCAAACACACACTGGGGAACTCCCACGTTTCAACCCAGGGCAGGCACTGTCAGCCCAGTTCTCAGCAAACAAATGCGACACAACATAGAAACCTTATTCAGGGGATCTGTTTCAAACGGGTTCCAAAATAAAGGGGTTCAGATCGCCGATCGCCGGCACCGAAGGACCATCATGTAGCATCCTAAAACCCCATTTGTTAGAACCCATGAGTCAAGTCATGTGTAGTCTTGTTGGCTCTACTCTGATTCATCGCTTTGCCTCTCCGAAAGACCCTCGGAACAGCCGCTGAGGTCAGTCTGACCACAAAGTGGTCAATACCTCAGTGTTCTTCACACATACCCACATAGTCTTTGCGCCTTGTGAGCATACTTGCATTGGGGGGGGAACTGACCTTGCGCGAGCAGGCGTCAACTGACTCCTCAGAGTCACACCTCCGGCCAAATGTCCCTCTTCGTCTTGGGTGTATCTCTGGGGCACCGAAAATCCGTGTCTGCTGTTTCATTCCTTGGTTTGTCTTCAAGGATTTGGAACCCCCAAACTGGTTGTTTTCTTTGTGGTTTCACTTGTAACCACACAGGGGTATCCCCAAAAGGGCGTGTCTTCTTTTTTGCGGGGAACTTGGTCGTGGGAAAAAGCGGTTGTTGGGCGGGTGCTGACTTCCCCGTCCATGTTTTTCGTTTTCCACCAGAACGGTCCGAAGTGCCAGCCCCAAAAAGTCGCTCAAGTCCAAAACGGGACTCAAAAAGTGAGAGTACCATTGCCATGGGTCAAAATCTCACACCCCCAGTGAACATCTGATTCAATCCCTACTAAAATAGGGACTCAAATATGGGGTGGTGCACCCCTTGGCCACATGGCTATGGCTCAAAAACCGGAATTCCAAAATGGGTTGCCCTGGTAAGTGGAAACATAGGAAGCCCAAAACCTGCGGTTGGCCCCTGGTGAAAATTTTAAGCCACGGGTGCCATGGGTCAAGAGCCAAATCGTACCCCTAGTGAACATCTGATCCAATCCCCACCAAAAATCGGGACTCTAAAATGGGCTGGTGCACCTACCCCAAAATGGGATCCCCGCAGTTTTGACCACCACAGCCATTCCAAAACCACCTACCCCAAAATGGCACCATTGGTTTTGACCCACGGCCACATGGCTATGGCGAACTCAGATCTCTCAGCCGAGGCTTCCGGGCTGACGCCCGTCAGCTCCGGCAGCAGCGAGGGCAGCGAGGCGCTGGGGCGCAGCAAGCCTCCGATGGGGGGGGGGGGAAGGGCATCCGTTCGCACCAAACGAAACGAAGCCATGGTTGAAACCATTTGGTATTTGCAAGGGAATCGAATCATTCCAGGGTTTCTTGGGGGGGGGGGGGGGTGGTTTTGAAGGTGTTCTTTTTGTGGTCTAGACCTGTTGCTGGAGGCCGTTTCACAGCAATATTGCCTAATGAAATGTTCAACCCAACCCAACCCAACCCACCCACCAACCCACCCACCCAAGCCCGGCCAACCCACACCCAAACCACACCCAACCCACACCCACACCCAACCAACACCCAACTCCCACCCAACCCCCACCCGACCCACCCAACCGACACCCAACCCACACCCAACCGACATCCAACCCACACCCACCCCACACCCAACCCACACCCACCCCACACCCAACCCACACCCAAATTTGGAGTCAACATATGGTATGAGCCGGGGGTAGCATTGGGCCAAGGCTTCATTCTTGCGGTTGTTCTGCGAACCATGTTTTTGAGCCATCCCTTGTGGTTTTCTTCAAGGGGACCCCTGGGTTCATTCCCGACACCCTGGGTCATTCCCTACTGAGCACAAGCAAGCTAAGGGAAAACTGAAACCCATGCCAGCACCCGGGTCAATTCCAACTTGCCTGCTTTCTGGTTACCGTACCAAGGGGAGTTTGGACATGGGACAAAGCAGTTGTAGGAGGGTGCTGGTAATTCACGTGGTTGCTAGGAAAATCGAGTTAAGTAACCTGCTACCGGAAAGCTGAATCCCAATGATTGGCGTCACTTGTAGCTATCTATACACCGAGCAGCTAGCGGTGCAGGAATTTGGGTCCCCAATTGTAAGACACACATACGCTTGTTTCATGGTTTCATGCGGGGGGCCCTGGATTAGCCCAGAAACCATGGATTTTCTGCGGCCAAAAGCGGGGTTAAAGTGCCAGTACGCCCTTAAGGGTTTTGATAGGCCAACCGAAAGGTGAAATGGAGGTCAACAAACAGGTTTGGGGATGGAACACTTAATTCCCCAACATGGGACAACCCCATCTTTTCATAGGGGTCTTTGATGGCGACATACCCGCATTCCCTCCTTTCAACATCAGGAGGCCAATCCCCTCCTAACACCATGGTTCCTTTGGTGTCCTGCGAGGGCCTGGTGTGGTGGTTCAGTGCTTCTGCTCGTCCGGAAACTGAAGTGCAACCGTGGGTGATTCTCAAAATCGAGGACCCCTTCAAATTGGTGTCCTTTAGCTTTCTTTTAACACCATACCAATAGTTTTAAAAAAGAAGAAAACAAACTTTTCCTGGCACCCTTTTCGCGGTTAGACAAAAAACCAAAACAATAGCAACAGCCCATCCAAGGTGGTCCCCTGTTGTGGAGACAAACCCATAGTTTCCCACAACCAAACACACATTGAAGATTCCCTGTGTACACCCCGCGCGAAAAGAACAGGTTACCCTTACCAAAAGGATGAAGCCGAAAGGACAGCACCCTCTCTCCAATAAGCCAAGTGAGGCCAAACGAAAACCCTTTGGTTTGACTCTTTGGGAAGCACCGACCTCAATTTTTTGATAGGTTCCCTGTGACTCGCAGCAAACTCGATGTCAAAATGAAAGCTCCCCCCCGCTTGAGAAAAAATATTAGATCACGGGTTGCAGCCGAACGGCCCAACATGGCCCCAAGCAACCCTCACAACGGCCCCGACCATAGGTGGCCTTTTGGAAAAATAGATGGCTCTGGTAAATGGAACAAACCCCCTCTAAACCAGGCCCTCTATTTCTAAAAAGGGACACCAAAACAGCCCCAAAACAGGCCTAAAACAGCCCGAGAGTCGCCCACCGTTTGGCTTATCTTCCGAGACCCACCTGCAATACCTCTGGTCTTCCGCGGAGGGCCTAGCAGCCGCTGACTCGTGCCATGTGTGTGTCAGATTTTCCTTTTGGTTCAGGTTTTAAGGAGAAACCGAAGGGAAAGCCACCAATTTCTGGGGCTCTATTTTTTTGGGGTTCCACTTTTTTGGGGTTATGAGGTTCCCCCTTTGTTGGGGTTTTCCATTTTTTGAGACAAATCCAGAAAATGGGCTCCTTCCTGAACAGCTCCATGAAACAAGGCAGGGGAGTATCCGCGGTAAATCCCCTCATTCGTATCTGCGGGCCAGAAGTTTGCTTTCCAATCCCCAACCCTCGTCTTCTGGGCTGTCCTCAGATGCCACGCTATCACTTTAACTGTTGGTGGGTTTAGTGATGGCTGGGAACCTCTCAAACTATGATCCATATATGTGCCATGGAAAAGACCTCGCCATGTGGCACATTGTCAGGGTTGCGGCAATAGGAGGCTTCCATCTTGAGGGGTCAATAACCATCTCTACCAGCCCCGAGTGAAAGGGAGCTTTGCCAAGGGACAAAGTTGGTACATCAGCATCGAGAGGAACGTAGGGTCAGCGGACAAAACCGAGGTTTTTGGACAAAACCCGGGTTTTCCAAAGCAGTACCGAAAATACGGGCTTGGCATGGGTTAAATACGGGTTTGGCACGGGTTAAATATGGGTTTGGCATGGGTTCGGAAGAAGAAAACCAATGTTTTCGTCACAAACCCGGGTTTTATCGAATTTATCCCCCAAAACCCAGGGTTTTGTTTCAGACCCGACAAATTTCCATGTTTTGGACGCACAGGGTATACCTATATATATATATATATATTTATATGTAACATATGTATACTTCATGATGTGTACTGATATGTAATTACTTGCCCCGGAAATCGGTAGTGACACCAAAAATCGGGCAACCCTCCCTCCCTCCCTCCCTCCCTCCCTCCCTCCCTCCCTCCCTCCCCTCCCTCCCTCCTGCCTCCCTCCCTCCCTCCCTCTCTCCCTCCCTCCCTCCCTGCCTGCCTGCCTCCCTGCCTGCCTGCCTGCCTGCCTGCCTCCCTCCCCCTCCCTCCCTGCCTCCCTCCGTCTCTCCCTCCCTGCCTGCCTCCCTGCCTGCCTGCCTGCTTCGCTCCCTCCCTCCCTGCCTCCCTGCCTCCCTCCCTCCCTCCCTCCCTCCCTGCCTGCCTCCCTGCCTGCCTGCCTGCCTGCCTGCTTCGCTCCCTCCCTCCCTCCCTGCCTCCCTGCCTCCCTCCCTCCCTGCCTGCCTGCCTGCCTGCCTGCCTGCCTGCCTGCCTCCCTCCCTCCCTCCCTCCCTCCCTCCCTTCCCACCCCTATTTTTTCTGGTGGGGGGAGAACAGCGTGTTATTCCCCCCCAAAAACGGGGCCCCGCCCTCCCAACCATCGCGTCTCGCGCCATGTGTCTGGCCGCCTGCGGCTTGGCCTGGCGCCTTTGGCAGGCTCTGCGGCAGGCTCCGTGCCTGGAACCCCCGGCGGCCGGCCGGCCGTGTCTCCGGTTGTTTGGGAACGGTGTTTTTTTAACCTTGCAAACCCCTTCCCATTTTGTTCAACCCTCCAAGCCTCTTTTTCAACCCTTCACCCCTTTCTATTTCACCCTCCCCCCGTCTTTTTAAGCCCTCCATCCTTCTTTGTTGCTCCATGCAGGCGATGCGCGCAAATCGAAACTCACTCATTCAAGTTCGCACGGGGCCTCTGTGGTCGCAGCTATTTATTATTATTATTTTGTTGGGGGGGCATCAGGCCCAAAACGGCAACAGCAAGTGCATGTGTCGAAAGGCAACGTGGGAAAGGAAATGTTTGGTTGGTATCCTTGGATGCTGGTGCTCGACCCATTCCATTGCAGAAGGGCTTCCAAGAAGCAGAAAGGAGCCTTGCTTCTAAGGGTAGCTTCTTCATTCTTTCCAGGGATCCTTCTTAGAAAGCCTCCGGAAACCTGTTGAAAACGACTAAATATTGAAAATAATGATGGTTGAAAAGAATGGGGAATTAACCCCTAGAGAAATACTACTGTGGATGGTTGCGAAATCCATTTCGCACCAACTAAGAACCCAACAGAATGAATTGATTACCCTGGAAATACCAACAAATAATGGTTTCAACCATGATGTCTTAGCTGGTACAGGATTTCGTCCATCAACAGTATGTGAAATTAAGTTTGTGTTTACTGCAAAAATGGGTGGTGAGGAGATGTTTTTCTCCCGTCCCTGTCTTGTTTGATTTCCCCTGAACAACGAACGCGGGTCAGAATTGGTAAACTGGGTGCCCATTTGCGCGTCTTGGCTTGTCTCCCCTGACATGTTGAAGGTCCCTGTTGCTTGGAATAATAGATTTCGGAACTTGCAAAAAACAACAAAAACGCTTCCACCTGCGCAGTTTACGTTCTGCTGGCGTCAACAGGGAAATCACCATGACGGCTTAATATGGGTGTGCCCGCTTTGAGGAACCCGCTACTGGTTGGTTTCCAGGGAAAACAAACGAAAACCCATCTTGAGGGTGCAATTTGTGTGTGGGTTTTGTTAGACTCAAATAGAGTTGAAACACTAAGTCAGGAGCATAGAGCCGAAAATGAAACCAGAATGCAATTCGTGATGATTTCGATGGAACTGCCACTATTATCACTATTGGCCCAGTTGAAAATTGAGGTGGCCCCCTCCTATTTCGGATTCAGGCTGCCACTTTCTGTGAGCACAAAGTTGCACAAGACAGGGCAACCACGTCCCAAACCGAGAAGGTCTAAGCAGCTTGGCAGTGTTTGGTCAACACTCCCTGCTGCGTAAACTGAGCCGCAGCTTGGGTTGGAAAGGCCTCCAACCAGCCACGGCAAGGCATTGCAGTTTCAAACCTAACGCGCCAGGTATCGCTATGTATCGCTAGTGGCTTCACGTCGGTTTTGTAGTCCGTGTCCCTTCAAAATGTGAAAATAATTCCCGTGTTTTACAGGATTGGACAGATCCCAATCGTTTTCCGCCAAATCGTGCGTAGGACGCAGAGCTCCATGTCCCCATGAAAAACATCACCGACTCCCAAAAAGGTCAAATATGAAAATATGAAACCCCCTGTCTGCCCAAAGGGGTGGGCTTCAACTTTCCTCGAAGCAATGGACTCTTTGTACTTTGCCTTTCAAACAAGTCTGAAGCAAAGTCCATGGGTTGGTCAAACTGACTCTCAAACAATTGAGCGCCTTTCTGGTTCGACGGGAGTGAAGTAACATTTTGCCAAGTGGTTCACATGTTGCACTTAAGCCAATGAGCAAACAGGCATTCACATGAGAGTGTCTTGACCCAGGACGTCTTTCTCTTACTGTTGACCCAAATTAATCAACCAATTGCCAACCAGTTTATTAATATTGGTGTTTTTTCTCCAAACGTCATGAATCCCCACATTTCACCCAAGGACTTTTCCCTCTACTGTGGATGGACGCACTCCTGCACCACCTAAGAAACCCAACAGAATGATTTAATTCTCCTGCAAATGCCAACAAACAATAGTTTCCCATGGTTTCCAAGTGGTGCAGGATTTCGTCCATCCACAGTATGCATAAACTGGTTGGTTCATTCAGCCGGGGTCAACATGAAACTGGGAACACGGTGCTCACAGAACTTCTCCCCCGCGACGAACGCTCGGCGACTCGGCTCGGGCCGCGGCCACGGTGGGCTTGCGCCGGGTCAGCCCCGTCCTGGGGGATACGCGTGACTCACCGGGCCGGTGTCCGTTTGTGTGTTACACGTGCTACTCCAAAAAAACGAGACATACGAGGTGTCTCAAAAAGGACCATGTTTGGCGCAAGGGTCCAAGAAGGGGCCCATACTTTTGTCAAAAGATGCACGAAATGGAAGATACACTCAAAACCAAGGGATTTTAAACCCAGCCCCCTCGCAAAAGGCTTGAGTTGGGACCATCTCATAAATCTACAGCTGCCTCAAAGCGGGGGACTCCAAAATGGGTGGTGTCCCTTTCACTTTCCTTGGAAACCCAAAAAGGCGACCCTCCCCTTGATTCAAATCGCCAAACCACCAATCCTGACCACCAAATAAGTCAAATAAGGGTTACCCTACAGCTTCAGTCATTTTCCTCAAAAGATCCAAGATATTTGCCCGATCTACCAAACACCAGTCATGAACCATTTGAACAAAGACTACTCAGCAGGTGGCAGTTAAACCCCCCCGCCTACGTACGGCCTTGTTCAAAAGCTGTCTGGAATGACGTGCTTTATTGCTCTTTTTAGTCTGGCCAAGGTTGCCTTTGACGGCTTTGACTTTGAAATGGGGACACGAACACGCTTCCAAGCACATTACAAACAGGCTATTCATTTGACGGGGGGGTCAGCTTCCCACTCACCCGTCTATTTGTTTTAGGCAACCTAATTGGACCCCTTGCTTGGGTTGTGCCATTGTGGGTCCCAAATCCAAGAAAAAAAGACTTGAGCAGAGTCTACCCAACAACTGGAAAGATCTAAAGATTTACGAGCATGTTGCTCCAATCACCGGGCTCCCCAGAATTACCTGTAAGACATCACCCCTGCAGGCAAACAAACCTGACATGGGCAACCGACAGGGGATGTTGAAACCCACCAAGATGAGCCAAACATGAGCGATCCCTGCATCATGACTCGACCGCCAGAGGTCATCTCCAGCGAATTTTCTGGGGCGCGTGATGGTTTGAGGCGACATGTTTTTGAGGGAAACCCCCCAGAAAATGGGCTCCTCCTATTCTGGCACATGCCCATTCGAGCACTGCCCAACTTCACTTTCGATTCTTACATGGCTTTCAATTGGCTTTCTCGGCCTAAACCCAGACTGTATAACTGTATAACCTTGACCCGCTTCCCGAGCGTATGGCCCAAAGAAAGGCCCACACTTCTTGTCTAGCACCATCATAGTCTTCCCCAAAAGTACAAAGTCCAGGAACTCCGGAAGTGAGAAGCCAGGTAGACGCCGCACGGCTAAACATTTGCAGCTTTTGGCTTCGGCCTTGGGCCCTTGGAGCTCGCCTGCGCCACGCTGGCGCCGGGGGCGCGGGCAGCGGCTCCGGCCTGTGTTTTTTTCATCGACTCCCGAGGCATCGAAGGAATCCGCGGGTCGGGGGGTGGGGTGAGGCAAGAGACACCACACAGGAAAGCCTCGGTTTTCTTTTCGGGAGTTCCCCTGTGTGTGTGTGTGTCTTTTTTGAGGGAGCCAGGGACGGGAAGATGGGACGGGTGGGTAGGTGAGGTAAATGACTGATTCTATCGGATATTCAGCCTGTGCGCTCGCTTACGCAATTAGAAACTACAGCTAAAGCTAGCTTTCCTGAAAAGGAGTCCACGGTGTGTCCAAACTGAGGCAAGTTGAAGAAAAAATCGGAGGAACGCATGCCCTTTTGGGGGGTGCCCCCCTTTGGTGTGTTTTTTGAGGAAGCCCGTTTTGGGGGATTGGTGAAAGGGACATCAGAGGGAAACTTCAGCCATTTTGGGTGGAACCTCCAAGGCTATGTCATGATTTTACCAGTTTGTTTATGGGGTTTCAACACATGGGCTTTCGGATGCACATCTGATTTTTGCTTACCGGAATCCATTTACTAGTGCCCGGTTTGGGCCCGAAGGGAAATGCGGAGACGGATGGGAAGCCAGTTGCGTTTGGTTTTGGGGGAATCTACCAAGTCCAAACAGACCTCCGATTGGCAGCTCCGTAGCTCCCTGTTTTACTCAAGACTTGGATACCCCCAGCTCAGTCACCGCTCCCTTCCAAGCACCAGCTTTGGAGAAGGGCCCAAGGCCCAAGACAAGAAAGCCAGGAAAAAAAGGTAAGTTCAGGTCGTTTTGGCGCATAAAAGATAGTTTTTAAGGGAAACCAAAGGCAACCAGATCTCCATTTGGAAACACCTGACCCCACACCCCTTGGAGGCGCGCGTCGGCTCCACGCAGTCGTCATACAAGGCCAGAGGCTCCTTCAAAGGAACAACACTCAACACTGGTTGATGGGGTAAAGCTCCCATAAAATAGGCAACGGCTAAATTTCCCTCGAAAGATGATGGGAGCGAATCAACCCGGGCCACAGCCGAGTGAAACCATCAAATCACCCAAACCACCAAACCAGAGAACAGACACACACCCCAGCACCCGGGTCCCAACTACGTGTGAGCAGCGCTCATGCGGTGCTTTTCTTCGCACCTTGAATGTCAAAACGGCTTCCATGCGCCAGCAATCTTCTCCGTATCAAAAGGAGCACGGTTGATTTGTGCGTGTCATCCTTGCAAAGGGGCCATGACTAAGGTCCCCTCTCATGAAAAGTTCCTATCATGCACTCCTCCGAAGCCAAAAAGCGCAGTCTTTCGAAGCCACCGAAGGACATGATCAGCTCAAGCCGTCAGCTCATCCCACGCGGCGTTGGACCACTTCGTCATGAGGAAATTCTCCTCATGACCGACTTCAGCACCCCCACCGCTGCCTCGGCTCTTCCGTTCTCCGGCTTCTGGTCCGGGGGACGAAGCGCTTTCTTGATGTCCCTCACCCGGCACTTTCTCGAGACATAAATTCGCCCCCCTGGTCCGAGTGGAGCCAGCCGCCCAGCACCTCCTTCTTCTGAGAGGGACCGTGAAGTAGAGCGTCTTCAATGGGCCGGGATCCTCCCTTTCCGGGATGATCGGCTCCTCCACCTCACGGTTTGCCCCTTCTTCTCCAATTTCAGTGACACCTCGGCATCTTCCTCCTCCGGGCTTTCCTCCACTGGGTCAGGTAGATGCGCCGGATCGTCGCCTTCTCGACGCCCCTCGGGCTCCGCGTCCTCCACGTTCACCTGCGGCCATGTGTACGTCGCCACCAGCAAGTAGCGCTTGTCCTCCACATCGTCCGTCCCTGCCATAGCGGAACGCCCGTCAAGTCCACCGAGAGCACGTTTCCTTCCGGATGTCTGAGACGCCTGTAAAGGTCCCTCGCCGCTGCCTACAAGGCAGGTGTCCCAGCTTGATGTGCTCCTCCCACGAGAGCTTCTTCATCTTCGGCAGCCCCATTTCAGACACCGAGATATCTCTCTCATCATCCCCGGCGCCCACCTTGAGAGCTCCTTGGACGTTCTGAGCTCCTCATCTTTTCTCGTCGCTCATCTCCCAACGCGGTTTCCCGCCAGCCATTCCTCGAGCTTCTCGGCACGATCGGTTGCGTACCCGATGCCGCCACCAACGTTCCTCCAGGCGTGACCCGCAAGGTGTAAGATTCCCCTGCGGCCAACTCCACCACCCGGTCCTCGTAAGCCGTCACGTCCTCGCCATCCTGCACCGGCCTCAAAGGATTCGTAGCCCCTGAGTCCACCAGGCCCCTCGTGCTGCTGAGCTCAACCTTGGACAACTTGAGGGTGATTTGCCTCATCCTCATTTTTTCTCGCATGTGTCCAACTGTCGCTGCAAGCTCTTCAGCATCTGCTCACTCTGCACCTTGTGGCTTTCCGCCGGCGCCTGCGCATTCAGGCTCTTGATCATCTTCGTGGCCTCCAGCAGGGCCCCCTTCATCACGTTTCCATCTCCCTCCGGGGCGGCGCTCCTCGCATCCGGCGAGCCCGCACCAGCCGACGCCGACGAAGTTCCTGTCCTCGGTGTAGCTTCTTGGCTGCCCTGCTCCAGGTTCTCCGTCGTGCTTCCCTCCGCGTTGGTCTTCGCCAGCTTGGGCTTCTCGGCCACTTTCGTAGCGATTGGGCAATCCTTTCGAAGGTGCTCGGATGCCCCGCAAGACCGGCACCTCATCCGTTGATCCTTCTGATCATGGCTCCACTTACAAGCTCGGCCTCTTCTGCAGCCTTTCTCCGTGAGGAAGAAGAAGCGGCATGGTCGGGGTTCATCCGTCTTGCTCTTCAACTCCCACACCTCCTGGGTCTCGACCTTCTTCGCCTTAACCTCCCCCATCCACGGCTGCTTCACCATTGCAGAGCTCTTCTTCTCCAGATGTGCCACCGCTTCCACCTCCGACAGCATATGCTCCGCGTACCGCAGCACCGCCAACTTGGGATGGAGACGTGTCCAGCTGCAACGCGTTCCTCGCCAACGCCATTTTGAACGTCAGCTCTGCATTCTTTTCCACCACGCGGTTCACCATCTTGTGCAGCGCCCGAGCCATCACCGAAGCATCGGGGATAGTCACCCCGAGCTTAACCGCCCGAAGCCTCCACCTCATCCACTGCCTTAAGTAGATCACCGCCATGGCAATGTTGGTCGCCTCCTGCGGGCTTTCCAGCCTCTGGAGGATGACGCTCTTCTCCACCAACCCGCCCGGCTGATAGGTCGCCATGAGCTTGCACACAATGACGTAGCACGACATGCTCTTCGTGGCCACAATCTCCTCCTTCGCCCCCTCCGGTAGTGCCGTGAGCAAAAGGCCAACCGCCCTTCGCTCTAGACGCCCCCATCGAGGTTCACGGTTCCCAATGTGTAAGCAATGCCCCCAAACTGAAAATTTGCATTTGTTTGGACTTTGGGGAGAGGCAAACCAACGGGCAGGGAGGTCCCAGCCATCCAAGCCGTCCCTACCATCCCAGCCCGACGGGGGTCATTTGCTGTTATTTTGAAAGCCTTTCACATCAAAATAAAATAATTGACCCCTGGCTTTTGTGAATGGCAAAAAGCGTCCCACCCCTCGACCCTCCCCATTTTTGGGGGGTGGCGAACGACGACCTGATTGTTTCGCGTCAAGGATCCTTCCACTCAACGTGAGCCCTGTTAGCCAAAGTCAGAGCAGCATCACAAAATCGATGCAGGAAGCTAAATGCTTTCTCCACATCATTGGGCACCCTCACAGCTTGGCAAGGCTGCATCATCTACCACATTTGCCACTGCCCCGCGCATGGCAGGAGCGGGCTGCAGCGCTAAGTGGCGCCTACCTGAACCTGGCCCCAGCACGATTCCACTATCATTGTAACCAAGAAAAACGAACTCGTTTCTGAATTGATCACCCCAACAACAGTCAACATAGAGACCCCATTGCAGGACCTATCAAGCGTTTCCGTGACTGGGCAAAGCTGGTGAGGTTTGGGTATGTTAGACAACATCAAGTCATGCACAATTCATGTTTCCTGTGTCGTTTCGCTCATCGTTCTCACGCATGCCACCCTGTTGCGCCGAGCAACGCAAGCATCATGGGTTGCAACACGCAAGCTAGCGTTGACTCAATCAAGAACAATGGCCCAGGTTGACTTGCGCGTTGCGCGTGTCTCAAGTCAAGCGATCAAACTTGCACATGCGTGCACATGCATACAGCTGCGCAGGCAAATCAAAGCGACGTTGTCTTGCCCGTGATACTTACGCATGTTGAAAGGTTGATGCGTTCCGGCATCAGGAGCAGAACGCAAATCAAAGCAGCTTAATTTGCGCTGTAAGCAGCAATTCCGCTTGCAAATAAGCTTGCAATTCAGTCTCAAAAACTTGCACTGTTGCTGCGTTCCATCAGGAGCAGCGATTAAATCCAAGCTTTGATTCAGGACTGCAAAGCCACATGGTCCAGGGGTGGAAGCTCAGAAGCACATACCCTTTCTACATGCCCCTTTGACACACCCCTTTCACAAACCCCTTTGGGCAAATGACCCTGAACAGGCTTGCTGAAGCCCATACCCCCTTTTGAAAAGGAGTAGACACCCCTTACAAAAAAGTGGGTTGGTAACCAAGGGAGCCAAGAACAAGGTGTACGTACGTTAAATTGTAATCCCTAGAAATGAGCGGCAAGATGTTGAAGTTTAGTTCAATGCATCAGTCCATATCAAAGCTGGTCGCCATTGGCATTAACTCAAAATCACGCAGACCGGAAAAAAGCACGCGTGCTCAAACCTCGGCGGCTGTTGGTCCGAGTTTACTCAACCTAGCTTGGGCCTTGGCTGGCTGCGATGGCTGAAGCTTGGGACATCTGGCCCTTGCTCGTGGACCTAGCAGCACTGGCGGCTGTTGACCTTGAGGAGTCCGAAGCTGACGCGTTGTCAGCGCAAGGCTTGGTGATGACCAACTTGCTGCAGCATCCATGGGCACATGGCTTGAGTCGTTTCTGAAGCCGACCATCGCGAAGAAGCCGGTGCTGATGAGCTTCTGCGTCCAAATTGCCAAGAACCTCAAGCGGTCAGGATGCAAACGGTCTGTCTTTGGTTGTGTCCGGCACTGGTCCCAATCTGAGCCGGAAGGGCTGGAGTAGAAGTTACGTCGCTGAGGCGGAGAAGGCGGCAAAGGCAAAGTCAAAGCGCTCGGAGTCTTCGGCGACCCTGGCGCAGCCGAAGGCGATGGCCAACATGACCCAGAAGCGGTGGTCGCGGCCACTGGCGAGCCTTGCAAGCTTGAGTCCGAGGCGGGCGGCGGCACACGCGTTCCATCCGAGCTCTCAGCGCTCTCATGGAAACTCTCAGATTCAGAGCTTTCGGAAACGGACATTGTTGCTTGAGCATTGCGCTGTTGGCGGAACGACAATGTCAGTCATGCTGAATGCTGGCTGAATGCTGAATGCGTGCAATGGCAAGCAAATGAATCAAAAGCTGAAGATGATTCCTGATTGATGATCATCGCCCTGGATCGAAACTCGCACTAAGACGGAAAGGCAAGTAGCGCTGCCTGAGAAGCTCATCAGGGCCCCTCGGGAGCAACTTGGCGCCGTGTTCTGGTACTTCAGCTACCAGCACTTCGCCGATTCCATGACCTTCCCCCACCAGGTCTGAGACGAGTCACTCAGGTCCGCCATGCTGGGCCCCAATCGCCCAGGTCAATCGGGGCGCTCTCCGGCTTGTACTCCGACAGCTTCGGCAATTTTCTTCTGCTGATTCATCAGCTGCTGCTGCGTTTCCTGCGTGTTCTGGACGATCTTCAGCATCACGCCCAGCGGCTGGTTCTGCATCGTTGTGTCCTCCTGATCCGCCACAAGCTCCTTCGAGGGCTCTCCATCCAGGACCGCGTTCTGTAGTCGAAGTTGATCACCTCCTCCAACTGGCGTGCCCTTGGTTGCGAACTTGTTGCTCTGATCAGCCGAAGTTCTTCCCGCAGCCGGTGCTGCCCGTTGGATCTCATCCACCAATCTCACACACCGCTGCATCTCCTTGCGAAGGGACTGATTGTCCGCCATCAGCTGCATCATGAAGTACTTGATGTCATTCAAAGGATCAGGCCATTGGGCTTGTCCAGGCCACAGCTCGAGTCGTCGATCGCCTTGCGCTCCTTCGCGTGCCACCGTTGGCCCTCTCAAGGTAGTCCTAAAACCCGCGTCCGGCCCCTTGCTGATCAGCGGTGCCTCCTCTGTCCACCTCTTCATCTGCTCCAGCGTGAACAGCGCACCTCGCAAAGGCACCAAAGCCAGTGGCTCCCCCTCAGGCCCTCCAGGCCACTGGGTCGAAGCCTCCGCCTGCACCACTCCATCTGGCCTGGCAACCATGGTGGCTCCACCACCTCAACGATCAACGGCCCGGATCTGCTGCTGCTCGATCCTTTGCCGTTGCCCTCGCTCATCTCCTCCAATGATCTGGCCCTTCTGGCTCTCCCGGGACCGGCGCCATCAGACAGTGCGGCGCTGTCGCAGCCACCTACTGTGGCGTTGGGCTCATAACCTACGTGTGAGCAGCCCGCTCATGCGGTGCTTTTCTTCGCACCTTGAATGTCAAAACGGTTTCCATGTGCTAGCAATCTTCTCTGTATTGGAAGGAGCACGGTTCATTTGTACGTGTCATCCTTGCAAAGGGGCCATGACTAAGGTCCCCTCTCATGAAAAGTTCCCATCATGCACCAACTGCGTTTTGAACAGTACTTGGGATTTTGGACACGGTTGAAAAAGCAGGCAAGTTGGGACCCGGCTGCTGGCACATGGCTCTTCCAAAAGGATGCGCACACCCAGCCACAGGGTCAATTGATGCATGCGACGCTGGAGCAGGTCGCATCCCTTGTCCCAAAAAAAATCACCGAGCCATACCTCATCAAATCGGACCATTGGACAAAAACACATGGGGCAAGTGACTCTCGGAGGATTACAGGCACAAGACTACTAAAAATGACGCCATGAATTTGCACAACTGTGAGACGCACTTCCTGGAAGCACACTACTTCAAAGACCTCAAACTGGGAATCTCCGCATCGTGGAGTGCCCATTTTGTCAATGTAGAGCGGGTTCACTTAGTTGGGCTGTTCAAAAATGGAGTGTTGGCCAACGATGAATCCCTAACCTCCATTGGAAAGCCACTACAAAGGAGACCAAATCCTTTCGTAACCCAAGGTAAGGATCCTGCAGATTGCCTTTGACCAGCCCAGATAATACAAAAACCCTCCAACTTTGTGGATGCGTAAGCAAAATGGCGCTCTGAATGGGAAACCTCAGCTGGGTCGTCCAATTGATTAACAGCCAGGCTTTACACCTGGTGGTTGTAGCTGTCCATTTTGTAAACAGTTGCCACTGGGGCGGTCAGAGGGATAAGCTCTTGAGTTCTTTGGTGCTCTTCTTCCGCAGTTCCTGCCCTCACGAAGTCCGACTTGGAGTCATGACGCTCTACACATGGGCCATGTCCCTTTCGGGATGACTACTCGAACATACCAAAAACCGGGAGGGGCCCACCCAAAACCGATATCCATGTAACCGAGAAAAGAAGGGGGCACACACAAAACCGATACCCTGGCAATATGTCAGAGATTCATATGACCCTGTTTTGCAGAGTCATAAAGATTGCAGGGCGGTTCCTTTAGTTCCGTGCAATCAACTGGCATCACCGGGTGCTAGCTTGTCCATGGCGACGCGTGTAAAATTAAATTGGGCGGCCCCAAATGGGCTCTAACACAGAATGCAAGTGATCCTCGGAACTCGGCGTTTAGATGCTGTTCAACGGGTCCCGTGAGTGAAGGGCTCCTCATCTTCCTCTTCCTCCTCATCCTCTGTTCCCACCTCCGTGTCGGTGGGCCCTGCGGCTTTGCGCATTGAACCATCCCCCGAGCCGATGAGGGACTTAATGCGCTGGGGCTGTGGGGTACTTAAAACATCTTGAGCCATGATCAAAAGAGTTCTCTATGAGCAATGATGGCGCTCCTAGAATCTTACCATCCAGGCTTTCCTTTGAACCACCCGAAAAGAAGGCCCTTTGGTGCAAAAACACCAAAGAGTATGGCTAAACTCGAATCATTCACACATTCCAAAGACAGGGCCCCCTCATGAAAGACCACTTCATCACCTTCAGGTCGCAAGCCCCAAGAATAAGCTCCCTCGATTTCCCACGGAAGTCAAAGTAAACCCAAGTGACCACCTCTCACGTGGTTTGGTGCACAGGTGCAACTTTCTACAAGGTGCATAGCGCCCGTTTCGCCATTGACTTTTGATTCTACATGGACCCTGTGGGCAGGCCGGCCTTTGGACTCTACGAACTCCGCGATAAGTCTGCGAAGCTCATTTCGGGAAAAAATATGCAGCAGCTGAATAGATGTATGTTTTGCTTTTTTGGAGGGACCCCTTTTTTGGTCGATTTGGATACGGAAGCGAAACCAACCATTTGCGACTTCCCCTGTTCTGAGACAGACCTATACATGAAGGTTTCTCAAAATGGTGGACTGCTTTTGGTTGCTAGCTAAAGCAAAGCAGGCAGGCAGGCAAGCAAGAAAGCCAACACTCCAACCATCCATCCATCCATCCATCCATCCAACCAACCAACCAAGCAACCAAGCAACCAAGCAACCAAGCAACCAAGCAACCAAGCAACCAAGCAACCAAGAAACCAAGCAACCAAGCAATCAAGCAACCAAGCAACCAAGCAACCAAGCAACCAAGCAACCAAGCAACCAAGCAACCAAGCAACCAACCAACCCAACCAACCAACCCAACCAACCCACCCACCCACCCACCCACCCACCCACCCACCCAACCAACCAACCAACCAACCAACCAACCAACCAACCAGGCAACCAACGAGCAAACAAAGAATCTATCACATCAACAAACCAAACACGCGAACAAGCTAGCAGGCCAACAAAATACCCGGTAGAAAAGGCTTCGCTTGCAAAATTGTCGCACAGCCAACATGTTCAACAGCAATGGCCCAGAATGAAACCGCCAGGGCGAAGGGGCCCAATTGCCATGTTTACGAATGTTGGAACAAGAAGTGACGGCTGCATTGGAGGCAGGCAGATTGATCTTCCCTCTCACAGCAGGACCCAACCGAAATGGGTTGACAGTGCTCAAAGCCAATTGGCTTTTGGTTCTGCTAAACTGGCTCGAAAGGTTTGCATCGGCCTTCCCGTACCCCAATGACACCAAGCAAGTCGCGCCTGTTGTGAATTCTCCCTGCCTTTCTCCTTGGTCCTATTTTAATACTCTTGTAGTACTCCTTGGATTCCGAGAGAGGTAGATCCACAAAAAACACGCATCCAAACCGTTTAGAGCAAACGAACCTCTACATGGCCCCTTCATGGGGGCAACTCCAAGACGCGCCCCGCCTGTCTCCATGCGTCTCCTAAGGCTTCGCAGTTTCGACCGAGGTCGGGGCCCTTTGCTTCTCAAGACTTGGCCAAAGATCTGGAGGCTGGCTTTCTGGAGAAATCATCTTTTTGGGCTGTTTTAGAAGAGAAAACAAGAGGAAACCATAGCAAACAAGAGGAAACAAGAGGGGAAACAAGAAAAACAAGAGGCTCCTCGTTTTGGGGGTTGTGTTAGAAGAAAAGCCAGAAGGGAATTGTAGACTTGGAGGGTTGCCAAGTTTGAGACAGTACCATGTTGACCCCATATCAAACCCCTCTTTTCTTGACAGGATTGCTTCCCCGGAAGAAAGGAAGCTAAGTACTGAGAAGGGGCCGCAATGGTGACAGTGGATTGCCCAGACCTTGCGAATAAACCAATAAAAGATCCTGGCAAATTACAGGCGTTTCGTTGCGTCCTGTGTGCCATCCATATTCTTCCATTTGCTTAAGCCCCCTGGAAAAAAAATATTTGCAGTAGTGATGAATTCCCTTTAAAACCAACAGGAGAAAATTAAACATATTCCTAAGCAAATGGAAGTATTTAATATGGATGGGTTCCACTGGATCTGCAGGGAGGTTAATCATTTATCAACTTTACGCTACAGGCTGTGTATCTGCCTGACACCAACTTGCGAGCGAGCAATGTCATGTCACCGCGACTCACCTTGCAATGCGCATAAGCAAACTGTGATTTGGGGAAAAACTTGAAGACCCCGCGAATCAGACCACCTCAAGGCTGAACACGAATGAAGTGGAGGAGCCCAGAAACAAAGCTCAGTCGTGCTGAGCTGGTGACCAGGTTGGGGTTGTGGTTGAAACAGGAGTTGATTGGTAGGTGTAAGATGCAAGTAACGAATCACCTTGGCAAATGGCCATTGCTCACCAAGCTACACTCAGTCTTTACGGGAGCTTCATCAGGGGTAAGCGTGCTTTTGCCAATCAACTGTCTAGCCACCCACAGAATATACCAGGGTGTTTCTTCTTTTTTCTGGGGGGGGGGGGGGCAAAACGGGTTTGGTTTTCCCTTTGTTTTCCTTTTGAAACCAAGCAGAAGGGAGTGCCCAAACAAAAATACCCCCCAAAAAAAAGGAAAAACAATTTGCCAACTGAAGAGTGCGGCGGTGACATGCCAACTTGCCGAAAGCGTGCACTGGCCAGAAAATACATGACCAATCGTTTGCGTGCAACTATTAGCACACCACCTCCAGGAATGAGCGATTCATGTGCCAGGAAGCCTGCTTGGTTACTTCCAGCACCTCTGACCAAATGTTTTATGTTCACTTACTAGAGCATCTGGTATGTGTTGCTTGCATAGGTGTCCTTTACGGGGAAATAGATGGGTTTCCCTGGTAGATGATTAAACCACCAGGTAAACCGATCGGAATCGCCATCGACGTTTCTATCAAAACAACCCAAAGGGACACCTACGGTTGCTTGGCGTGGAGAAAGAGAAAGGTGCGCAGCAGCCTGAGATTGTCGCGCAAACTGAGTGAGTCGAACCACCGCAACAGGAGCTTCATGGTATCCTCTTGTTTTCATTTGGTCTTGCTGGGTGAACAGAAGTCCCCTTTTGAGGGTTGAAGCATTTGGCTTTGCCATTGAGGGTGCGCTTGTTGCGGTTGCGCCGCTCTTGGAATCCACGCGCTTCGACGCTTCGAGGGTTCCAATCCTTTGAGCTCTTCACTTTCGCTGCCCTGGGATCTCCCTGAGCATTTCAACCAAGCGTGGGCCCCTCTCAAAACCTCGATTGATGAGTGGATGGGCCAAGCAAAATCCGAACTCGTTGTAAGCCGCTAAAACGGTCTCCTTCCCAAAAAAACGTTTTCAAGTCCATGAACTCAGGAAGTGAGATAAACCACATTTCTAGGGGTACCTTCCCCATTCTTTCCAGGGATCCTTCTTTCCAGAAAACCTCCAGAAACCAGGGATAAGGGGTCCGGTGTTTGAAGAGAACGATGATTGAAACCGAAAAGGAATCAACCCCTAGAGTCACTGCCCTTTCCACACCCCGCAACTGAATCTTGAGCAGCCTGGGGTCGTAACAGCTTGATACCTTGAGCAACCGCAAAAATCCCTCGCAGAGGACAAACCCCACAGCCCCCAACGAAGAAAATCCAACTCCGCCGGGCGGCAGCGCGTGGCTCGCCAGGCGTGCCAGCTCCAGGGTCTGCAGGCCAGCACCTGGATGGCATGGCCCCGGGCAAAACATCTCAGCCTGTCAATAAGCAGGGGGAGTGGCTGATCTATCAACCAGTACTCGAACATATACATATATATATATATATACACAGACCAAACAAACATACATATTTGTAGTTAACTGCCTCCACTAGGTCCTCCAGTAGAGAGGTGCTCGAATAAGGGTACCGTTTCTTTTTTTTTCTGGACGTTTATTTGAGTAGGGGAACCCTCCCAAAAAAAGGTTGGTAAAAGGGCGCTACTGGGGGACCTAGTGATGTCATCACTTGTGAATGAACCCTTCATTTCTCCCACTTAGCCCTTGGGCAATACTGTGAGTCAGCTTTGCCCATCGTGCTTATATCCAGTGCAAATAGCCCCAAAATCGGGGAAATGGCTACAACCCTACATTTCAACTTGCCAATGCAAATGGCGTATCAAGCTGGCAAACTGACCTTGCCGTGGGGTTCAAACCACCAAAACCACCATTAAAACAAAGGGATTCATATCACCACCAGTGTGCACAGTTCAGATCCAAATTGGGTCCCAAGTTGCCATTCTTTTCATGGGACCACCTTCCGAGAGAGATAAATGTGCGGAATTGCTCGGCTCATTAAAACCTTGCCTCAGTTGGAACAATGTTGTTTTCCCGAGTGTTTTGGTTTGTCAATCACATCGGGAAGCGGTCTCAATGACGGGCTACTTGGTGCGAGTGTTTTGTTATTTCTCAGGTTGCTCTTGTAGTTAGTTGCGGTTGATGATAGCTGGACCCTTGTCACTATGTAGCTCTTATGTAGTATTCTAACCTTTTAGGTCATAACTGAACATGGGTACCAACACTGGAAAACCACAAGGTCAAAAGGTCGATTCGGTTTCGACTGAAGTGCTAAGTCTAGGCCTTCTTCTGACACCGTGTGCCATCCCAAGGACTCGCTTTCAAAGGAATTCACACGGAAAGCCAACCATGGGCTTCAATCGGGGTAGAGGGAAGGGGGTAGAGGGAACCTGAATTGTTGGTGGGCTGGAGAAGGGACAGCCAGAGAACAACCGTTGTGCCACATATTTCTTGGGGGGAAGGACCAAAAGACACACCCGAAGGAATATCGATAAGTTCAGAAGTGTATGTTCACCATCTTCTTGCGGTTTCCTGCAGGGAAACGCCTAAAGTTAGCTTCCTTGCACCAAAGAAAAAGAAAGAAGGGCAGGGTGCGCGCGCCCTCCCCCGTCCGTTGCGTTGGGGGGAAGAGATCTGTTAATTCTCTGGAAGATATTTTCCTCTGACACGGACCTGCCGGGTTCCACGTGTCAGTTATAGGGCTTCCCATGCCTTTCCCTTGCAATATTTGGGAGTTTCTCAGATGGCTTATGCCCCCTTCTTGATAATTCACACAAACATATTTTGAGGGATCCTCAGTTTTGACAACCTAGGTCCTACGTTTGCCGAAGTCCCCTGACAAAAATACAAGTAGTGGTTAGTAGTTCCCTTTAAAACCAAAACGGGGGGGGTACACATATTCTTGACTTTACAACCCTTGGTATGGGCTTGCAAAAAAGCCGACTGCTGTTTTGCAGCCCCCCTACTAAAAATGAACAAAAAAACAAAAAAACACGAAAAACAATTAAACAGTTGAACCAAATGTCCTGCTTTTCTATGTCTGTTGTTTTTGGGATACCCTTTTCGAGGCTTGGTCCATTGAAGGGGAAACCAAAGGGAAAACCGCGTGGACGTAGTGGGCATCCGCCTGCGGAGGACCGGCGCCGGAGGCTTGCCAAATCTTGGGGCACCGTCTCCTCGAGCCCTGGCTCGATGCACGCCGAAAGAGGTTTGTCGTGGCAGGTTCTTGGACCATGTTGGAGAGGGGGGCGCCTAGAACCTGGAACATATACTGTGGATGGACGAAATCCATTTCGCACCACCTAAGAAACTTTGGAATGATGATTCCCCTGTAAATACCAAACGATGGGGGTCCTCTGGTTTCAACGTGATGCAGGATTTCGTCCATCCACAGTATGGACATACATTGACATGGTCAATTCTATGTACATGTTTATACAGCATGTAGGTATATAATATATATATATATATAATATATATATATATATATATAATATATACACTGTAGTTGGCACTGAACCGGGAGCACGCTGAACAAAAAAAAAGTTCGCCAGCACGCATGCGCTGAGAAAAAGCGCGTGTGGGAGGTACTCCTCTGGGCTTCAGAAGTGGAAGTGCGCCGTGCGCAAACACGCGACCAGGGTTCAAGCACACGCTCGATTACAACTTTTGGCTGATCCCTTTGCGGGGGGAAAAGAGTGCCTCAAGAAGGAACCCTCTTTTTTTGTTGTAATCCTACTCTATGATCAGGGGGTCCACATTGTCTGTTCTGACATGCTCCAACAATGTGTCGCACATTCCCACGTTTCTGCACTAACTGACTTCACCAACCTGAATTACGTGTGTGTTGCTTGGGAGTCAAACCTTTTGGTGGTGTTTTCAAAGGAAGCCGAAAGGAAACCCACCAATATTGAGGGTCCCCTGAGACAAACCCCAATGTATTCTTTCTGCGGGATCTCAGTGGGCCCAGCAAACCCGGGCCGATCGATTCCAACAACTGGTTTTCGTGTTCCGCACCAAGGGGATTTTGGACAGGGTCGGAAAAAAAGAAAGAAGCAGTCGCTTGCGGGTGGTAGTTCTTTGTATCTTGTGTTACAAGAACATTCGCAAGAAAAGAGAGAAACATGAGCGGATTGGCCGAGAAAGAAGTCAAACTTGTCCCTTTGCTACAAAAAGCGTCTTCTCAAAAAGTGACCAGGACGCGAAGAGGCAGAAGAAGGCACGAGGCTCGGAGGTCCAGATGATCGCCAACCCACTGCCTTACCCCCCCCCCCCGACGCCGTCATTCCCATGGCGCCTGTAAGCAATGACGCTCCTCGATTCGGGCGTCCGAAAGACGTGGGGAAATTCATTTGAAGCCCAGAGGTCAACCAGTGCTCTCATGGACTTTGTAACGGCTTCATGGGTTCAAGCACAGCCCTCACACGTGCTCAATCTTTGCGGCAAAGGGTTGGACTGTTGCCCACTCCATGAGTCACAATCAAACCCGGCATCAACATGGTCTACCCAGAAGAATGTAAAGCATTGAACAGGCTTTAATATCCGCACCCAAGAATGGCAAGGGGATTGTCCCTTCCCCTGTTACCCGGGTTTTGATGGTGACTCAAGTTGGGTCCCCTTGGGGAAGCTCTTCCAAACCTCAGGGAGCAAATGGCGAGGCCACGCCGAACAATCAGTCAATGGCATATTCAAGGCCTGGGTGGCGGAGCGGATTTCTTGCCCTGAGCATTGCAAGCAAAGCAAGCGCAAACGAAGCGCCAAAATCATAATCATGGTGGGAATGAACCTTCGGATTATCCGAGAAAGAAACCATGGAACCAAGTTAAAATGTGAGCTTCCTTTTTGGGTGATGTTTAAAGGGGAGATAAGGAAGGTTGGTAAGGGAAATCAAACCAAGAAAGCACATCCCCGCAAAGGTGCGACTTGCAATAAGGGTGTGAACAGTCAAAAATAGGTACCGCAAATGCAACCTCTCCTGGTAAATGGAAACAAGGGCTAAACCACTAAGCCCCTCCATATCCTGGTAATGTTTCATTTTCACCCATACAACTACTTGCTGGTGCTGAGTAGGGAATGAGGGAATGACCCCTAAACCATCCGCTATGGGTTCCTTTAAGGAACTTCCAGGTTCATTCCCTCGTTCGCTGCCGAGCACCAGACAATGAAGGGGATCAACCGCTTCACAGAACTGACCAACTCACCTTCCAACCGCAGTGAGTCAAGTAAGAAGGCGGCCGCAACTATTTCATCTGCCTTACTAACCTTGCTAACCTTACTAACTTCATTTTAAAAAAATGTGG